GAGTAATGACGTAGAGCTTCGTAAGGGTTTGGATTTACGCTTTGAGCTTTGAGCCGTGCCGCTGCTTTGTGGATGCCCCCGTATGGGTTTTACCGTGTGCACATTTAATATTACCAAAGTGCTTCAACAAAAACTGACTGAATTATGAATTTATTGTGTATTTTCGTTATGTGGACACGTATGCTGTTATCAGAGACTTTCTAGACGGATTATTCATAAAAACTCATGATTTGATCAATTGACTTTTGATCGTTTACAAAATTAACGGATCGTATATCCGCTATTTATCAAAAACATATTTACCATCACTTGTCATCGTATCCAGATATCAAATGAATCATCAATTTTATTTTTCAAACACCAGAAACGTTTAATTTCAAAATTCAAAGTGCGGATCCTGACTCCTGTCAAAGGATCGAAATCATCAAGCAAAGTGAACTTGGCAGTGCAATAAAAGTGCAGCGCCTTCAACAGATTCCCATCTAGCTTCGATCGGTAACACTTGTATAATTAAAAATGCATAAAATCAGAAAATTCCTTTGAAATTTTCAGCACCACGTCTTTAAAAATTTTTTTACTTTCCATCACAATAATTAATTTCTATATCTTCCTCTCGTAACAATAAATTCTACAAATCCGTAAAATCCCTAAAAATCTCTAAACAAACTATCCCTGTAAAACTTACGAATACCTGAAAAAGAAAGTCACGTGGAATGTCAGAATATGTCGCATCCACCGTAATGTCAAGAAAGGTTCATTTTCAGTGTCTCAAGGGTTTCGCCAAAATGTCAGGACCTTTATGAAAACTACATAAGTCGTTTCCATGAAGATCCAAACGGGCAAAATAACACAAAAAAAGTCTCGCCATCTGAAAAATTAAGAATCACGGAAAAAAATTTGTTCAAAATTCAAAAATCCATATCCCATCCTTCACAGCATCCACCCTACGTCTACCACCGGTGACATCATCTACCAAGATCAATTAATATAAACTTCCGACACCACAATGCAGGTACAAGATTGTATAGAGGATTCACAAGCAACAGACCTTAGTTAACAGGGGCCATTATGAAAAATTACCATTGACTACCGGTGGCCAATTGACATGGATAATGAAAGGTGAGAGAAGTATAATGAGACGATACGAAAAATCTTAGCCATATATAACGGAGCTCCGAGCTCTTCGCGTATGGTGAAACGTGAGTATACTTATCCATATGGCTATATATCCATATATACGTATAATACATAAACAGATACCCGTAAGGCCCAGTATAATCTCAAATGGGTAAGGGAGAGATAGATATTCATTTTTCATAAGCATATAAACGCGGGTTATTAATATGCTCGTATTATGAGGCACAAAAGGAGGTAATTAGCGCGCGGTTCATCAGTCACTCCACTCGGCCATCCCTACCGGTCAAGAAGATCGGCCCTATATGGGCCCAAGAGAAAAGGGGCCCAAGTGGTATCTCTTTGGCTCGAGGGCGCAAGACACATTAGAAGGGGCTAATGAAGGCTGGACTTGGCCAAAAAAAATCTCAACTCCGATTAACTCACGTTATATTTTATGTCGAGGTGGCTCGGCCAGATTTTTAATTAGACGGACGCACCTATGATCATCCATCATTAAACGTGACGAGCTATACTTCCGTCCGTAGGAGTGCGACAAGAAGTTGGCGTCGGCGTCGCGACGCTTTTACTCGTAGCTTTTCCTTTGGTCGACAGTAAACATATATGGCGTACGATATATATACATATACAGGGCTGCCAACCATAAATTTCGGGAGAACAAAGGAAACCGAAAAGACTCCAAAACAAACGTCTGGCTTTCGTGTACAACAGTTTGTCAGGATTTTTAATTCTAATGCCGACTAAGTCCAGGATATATTATAGGGGTTGATTTGTTTTTTTTTTTTGGGGTAAATTTTCAAAGTATATTTTCAAAGACTGCGGTTTTTTGGGGACCTTTTTTTTTGTTTTCAACATCGCGACAGCACTGCTGTAAACAACTGTACAAATCCGGAATGAAGTGGAGCGAACGAGGAAAGTGAAGCATATGTCGTATTTTAGGGGTTGGAGGAGAAGAGTTCATCAGGGGTTGGTTTTGGGTTCCATTCGATGGTGGTGCGTGGGTGCGTGACACACGCGGGCTGCGTGTCTCTATAACCCAGACAGGAAGTGCGTAGAGCGTTGATTGGCTGCCCGGGGGTGGTTTCGCTGGATGGGGTGACCTCTGACCGCACCCCCAGGGGGCGCGCGCACGCCTCCAACCCCAAGGAAGTAATTACCAGACCACCCCCGCTCGATAACACACGCCGGTACTGTAACGCTATAATGCTGCGGTGCTCGTGTCGCTTTAGTACAGTCTATATTACTATAAGCATACGTTCTGTATATACATATATACATATATACGCGCATAATTTACCACGTGTGCAGAGATACCATATGAGCAATTATAGAAGCATACATTACTCGGAAGTGACAGAAAGCTTAAAAATAAAAAAAAAGCTTAGGTATACCATTTAAATTTACTTTTTCACCCTTATCGCGAATCCAGAATTCATATATATATTTTCTGAAAATTTTGCATCCTACGGTTTAAAATGTTGGATGAGGCTAATTGGGGGGAAGAAAAATCTGAGCCAACGATCGTAATCCTATCGGATACAGTCGAAAAAGTTTAGAACCTTCCCCTATGAGAATTTAGATACTCATGTGTGTTAAAGAGAGGGTGGCGTTGCGCGAAGTCTGCCAAATGGGGTGCTGACTTAAGAAATCTCACGAGAAGGATTTCGAATTTGTCGGCAGAGATTTACACCAGCTTTGCCATCGGTATTAGAATAGATGGTATCGGCGCTCTTGGTAGTAGAGCGTAAGCGAGGGGTGCCTTCGGCAGCACCCTTAATGCGATTTCACCCCTTCAAAAATCTCAGATGGATTTAACATATCGCGAAAGCCCAACGTTAGCTATTGCTCTCACCTATAGGCACGTGAGTACGTAAACCGAGGATATCGACAAAGTAGAAAAAAAAGGGGGTAGTGCGTTGAAATTAGTGTGCGAGGGGGTGAAAATACCACCCCGTTGACAAGGGTAGGAAAAAGAAAAATAATCCTCATACACCCGTCTCGGGCTTAGTGGATGCTGTAAGAAATCTTTACGTGCGCCTGGCTTGACTCTCGAAAATCCTCTTACTTTTTTTTTCCTGTTTCCAAGGAAAAAAGTTAAGGGTGTACTACCTCCCCCGGAGGGCGGAGGGTTTTCCAGGATGAAGTGTAAGGAGGATCGCGCACCGGGTCACCCCACGAGATTCTCATTGGCAGACGCTACGACAGAGTGGATCGCGATTGGTTGAGGGTCGAGGGTCGACTCACCTACCCCTAACCCGTCATGACCTCCCACGCGAACTCGCGAGGTAACCACCCCTATCGTCACGAAGGTGATATACCTAAAGGCCCTTCCCCGTAATTCAACCTGAAAATGTCTGCCACCACTCTCTCCGGCGAATAAGACCTGATTGGTGGTGCCCACTTTTTTTAGGGGTAGTTTAACCAGAATTTATATTTTAAGGATATCTTTTCTTTTACCGCACTCTTATCTTATATTGTCATAGGCCTAAACCGGCTCTGTACGTTCTACCGGTTGATACCTACTTGCCAATGACTTCGGCGACTGCAAGGGTAGTTCTTGTTAAGATCGATAGGAAACCAGGGTGGACAATCGGATCCACTAGAACGGCGCCACGACCACCTCCCCCCGACACTACTGTGCCCGTGGTAATAACTTACTCTGAGGGGTTGCCCAGACAGAAGCCAGGGCTAAAAATGGCGCGTGACGTCAGGGGTGCCATCCATCACCCACATGACAACCAGCAAACCGGAGCGATTAACTTTTCTAGGGTGTTTTTTTGCCCGATGAGCTTTATTATTAGAAACGCCCGCAACCCGATGGCCGACACGACGAAATACCGGGGGAATAAATATCAGCCCTGAAAACTTTTAGATTCTTTATTTAGACGAGCATCTTAGTTTGCTTATAGGGATATAGGTGAACGGGCAATAATAACATGTATATATTTACAAATTTTCTTCTACAAAATTTAAACAATATTTAGTGGCATTTAATATTATATAAAAGATTCCAAAATTTTAACACCAAAGTCACATACAAAGTCTTGACCTTGAATCTTTTTTTTTTTTTATTAATAATTTTATACTAAGAACATGAACTTGACTTGTGTCAATCTTTCAGACATTGATCTCCACCCGGTTCCCTTTGTTATCCTCCCTTTTCTCTCTCATCAGCCATTTATCTAGAGAAGGTTGGGAGGCTGGGTGAGAACAGTCCGAGTTTGCGATGGACCCTGCGCATCATTTATAAGCCACTATATAAGATCCCTATCTCCAACGTAGCGCATAGTTTTTCTTCCAGTAAGCTTTTTATGTACGCACTGGGAACGAGAGCTAAAGTTTTGCCTGTTGACCGATGATATTTTTATGACCGTCTGATAAGGAAGATTGTCCGCCATTCCGTTGGATAGTTTGCGGCCGGCGGGGGATGAAGTCGTTTCTTGTCGCTTTTATCCCATCCACAACCCCTGTCGATAAAATCCGAGACGTGACCTCTGGAGCTATCTTGATAGTTTATATCTAAGAGTATGTGAAAAAAAAATTTTTTTCCAAATTTTTTACGACCATTATCATATATTGTTTCAAATTTGTTTCACTTTTTGGTGACGTTTTTTTTTTATTTATTTATTAATAAGCGTTCCTGTGTCTCTGACAACACAAGGGTCGCCAAGACCAAGAAACGGTCACGCATTCACGCTTTCCAACGATCGTATCTGCGAAGCATTAGACGTTAGCTGCTTATTTACTGGGTGGATGTTACTAACGTGATTATCGTAATCCAATTAGAAAGGTGCGGCGCTGTTCTGCAGTTTGTCGCCCGTGCAAAGGTGTCGGTATTGTCGAGAAGATTCATCGTGGAGAGAAAATTATTTCATTTGCTTTTTTATTCATTTTTTTACCAAAAATAAAATAAAACGCCATCAGCCACATTGAAAGAAAAAGTGTGCTTGTACAATATACACATAGCTTGTGCTACACTTAATTGAAACTTCATTACCATAATTTTGAAAAAGCACTGTAATTGTAATTATTATTGTTATTATTCATTTTTAATACTACAAATCAGTCCTGGCTGATACAGTCCTGTATCTGTCTTCCAGAAATTTAAACAGTGACTCGATACAAGCCCATGACGACATCTCGTGAGTGTTGTGCCCTGAAATATTAAATAAAATATAAAAATTGCTAAAATTTCAAAATCTTGGAAAAAAGTAAATTTCTGCTTTACCACTTGAAACTCGATCGACGTCTCCACTGAGCGACAATTCCGGCGTATCAAGAGGATTGTTCGATGCGACCCAGTTACGTGAAACCTGAAGAAAAAAAAATCATTCTTGAAATAGAAAAAAAATAAATTCCCCAAAAAAACAATTCGCGTTTTCCTATAACTAAAAAAAAAATTACAAAAATCAATTATACAAGTACGCGTCAAATATTACATGAACCACCTAAGGTCTAATTCACAATGGCAAAAAAGGCTTCTTGAAGCGATACCCAATTTCCAGCCACCTGCAACCGCAAGACCGCAAGCCGAAGACGTGACTTCCGTAAATCAATACCTATCGATACCGAGGAATATCAGCACAAACTTATATCCTTCCGGCGGATATACATATCTGCGACCTAATACGCGCACGTGCACGAAGAATTCAAAGAATTCAAACGACCGGATGAATTTTTGAGTAGCAAAAAAAATTTTTTGCAAAATCCCTCCAAAAAATAGTAAAACCAAAAATGCAAACCGATACAAAAAAAAAAGTGTATAGACTTTCAAAATCAAATTCCCCCTCCCCCCCCTGTCCAAAACTTCATCAACTATACATATAAATATATATTATCAAAAGATCAACTGTCCCAAGATCAGTTCATCCGAATTAGTCCGGCAATACCAATTGGACGCTGGTACCACTTGGCAAATCCGCAATGGACGGATCAACTGACATGTTCATGCTGACACGTTGGGTACACTGCATTGTGCAAACACGGAAATCGCACCAGTTTCTGTACATTATAACAGGTAGTACGTGTTCGGGTATGTGCGGTATGGGAGTACAAATATATCTATACATATATATACAAATATACGTAGCTAGATAGAGAGAGAGAGAGAGAGAGAGAGAGAGAGAGAGAGAGAGAGAGAGAGAGTGCACGTGTACTCAGGGTATAAATGCAGCTGCTTGAACAGTGAAATTTCTGATCGTTCTCGCTGCGGCTTTTACTGGCGTTCCGCCATTCCCGTGGGAAATGTTCCCCGATTATATTTACCCAAAGTACCAAAGTTTCATGCGCGGAATGCCTACGAGTTTCAGGAGTCTCGTCTGTTTGTCCAGGTACTTTAATTAATTACGCGACGCGTCTAATAATGCAATCATCGACTACCGGTGTCTATATACATATATACAATATACCAGTGATTTACTGTTGACCAGGGGACACACAGTGGTAATGCGATATACATATATCTATCTACAAACATATTGATATACATATACCAAGAAATCACCAGAGATTTCAAACTCTCTAAGATTATCCTGGATGAATATAATAATAATGATACGTATAATAATCTATATATATATACAGATGCCAATTCCGTTCGTTGGTAACGGTAGTAGCCAAGTACCACAGCAACCACATTGCGTCCTTGTATCAATTAATCATCATTCAGGTAACATGGCGCAATCACGAAGACTCTCATGGGAATTAAAGATAATACAATAAAAGAGTGTACGAGTAATCACGTTATTGCGCATGCGCATAAAGGATGGATTGATGAGTGAAAGAAAAGCGTTGCAAGATCTGATCTGCCTGAGAGTCGCTTCAAGGTAATATAAGTTTTTCATATTAGAAAATTATTTTTTAAATCAAATTACCTATAAGGTGGACGGGTTAGTGATGGATTCATTGGTGAGTTTTTTTTAATGAAATAAAATAAATAAAAAAATCCATCAACTATATCGCAGTATTCAGAGCCAAGGATCCCATTAGACCCCCCCATTCGGGTGGAACTAGGGGGTTATGGGTATTACTGTATTCTGTGTAGGCTCCTGGCGAAGCTTGTACCAGATAGCCACTTCTCTCTGCAGCTACTTAAAATATTTTTAAAATCAAATTACCTATAAGGTGGACGAGTTCGTGATGTATTCATTGGTGCATTTTTTTTAAATAAAATATAATAAAAAAATATAATAAAAAAAATTAATAAATAAAAACATCATCCCTCAACTATGTCTCAGTATTCAGAGCCAAGGATCCCATTAGACACTAGTGGCTCCCATAGCATTGGGGTAGAACTAGGAGATTATGGGTATTACTGTATTCTGTGTTGGCTCCTGACGAAACTTGTATCATGTAGCCACTTTTCTCTGCAGCTACTTAAAATTATTTTTAAAATCAAATTACATCTAAGGTGGACGGGTTAGTGATGGTCTCATTGGTGCGTTTTTTTTAAATAAAATATAAAAAATCATCCCTCAACTATGTCTCAGTATTCAGAGCCAAGGATCCCATTAGACACTAGTGGCTCCCATAGCATTGGGGTAGAACTAGAGGGTGATAGGTATTACTGTATTCTGTGTAGGCTCCTGGCGAAGCTTGTACCAGATAGCCACTTCTCTCTGCAGCTACTTCACTCGACTCTCCGAGTGAAGTGGAGGAAGAGAGAGAACACCGGCCATTGTCAGAGCACGACATTCATCCCCCGAGTGCAGCCCTTGTACCTATATTTCTGCGGTAACGTGACTCTACGGGGTGTCTTCTATTCTGATTTAGATAGTCCGTATATTGAACGGGTTAAAACGTAGTGCGGATTAATACAGGTTGAATATAAAATATACGTGATATTGTAAATGTATGTATTATTCAGAAAAAAATTCAATACTTTATTTTGGGGATGATAATAATTTTTTGAAATTTTCTGCCATATTCAGATTTCTTTTTTCATGGGTTGTGTCAACAAAAAAAATTGTCTTTGACGTCATGCAACTTTTACGTGTTAGTGTGATATATTAAAAAATATATATATGTGGGTATATATATGTATATAGATTCGTTTCTACGTACGTTAATTTCCCAAGGGAGAACAGACAACGTCTCCCTGAACAACCTGCAATCTGGATGACGTGAAACGAAGAGCCACTGACATTCGATAATTACCCACCCCTTGTTCGACCCCTCGTCAAACTCGATGCCCAGAAACTTATATATTGACACTGGTCCTACCGGGTGGACAAATATTAGCGAGTGCCACTCGGTAATGTAGTAGGCTAATGGAGGAAGAAGTCATGCGGTGCTATTGTCTTTTTGTGCAATGGGGATAGCAGATGTCAAAATATGAAATATATGTGGAGAGTATGATATTGCGGTAGCGAGAAAAATGTAAAAGATAACAGCCCTGACCAGGAGTGATAAGGATTATAGAAATAATATTGGTGTAAGTATATGAAGATTAGAAATATTGGTGAAAGACAGGTTAATGCCATCCGGTATAATTAGCTGATAAATTTAAAAAAAATTCAATTGAGTACCGAATCTCATGCTGAGATTGATATGGCGCATATACTGGGTGGCACTTTAGTATTGATTTTAGTGAACTTTCAAGAACCCACTTGGTAACGTATAAGGCTAATAGAAGAAGTCATGCGGTTTTATTGTCATGGAGACAATGATACCAGATGGGCGAATAATCTGTGTGCTTTTTTTTATATTTAACTTTTGTCTGACTTTTTTTTCAGCTCCTGGTACACGATTTGGTGGTCACGGTCTGGTGCAATGATTATCATTTAAGTACGATACTGCCGTCTTACGTTAAAGGTCTTGCGTTACGAATCGTGGCTATTATCAATGACATTTCAAAGATCTGAAGAGACACAGTGCGATGAATATACATGGTGATCATTTATTTTTCTTTTTGGATTTCATTCTCTTGCAATTTTTGTTAATATCTTACCTTTACAATGTGATCTGTTCCTTTAGCTGGTAACGAGTGCACGGAATCAGTCAGAGCCACGGCGAATATTCTTTTGGTAAATTCATTCACGTTTTTCATCGCCTGCAAAACAGTAACGATACGATTGCTATTGGTGTGGAGTATAAGATTTTTTGGGATAGAAGGAAAAAGTGAAAAATTTACGAATTTCATGACGCAGACTCCACCATAGCTATGAGCTACAATTGCTATGTGTTTGACTTTGGATGGCCGAACGTAATCGTTCCAAACTGTATCAAGATGTCGGCAAGGATCCTCACTTCCCTGAAAATAGTTGAGTGATAGTTTTAGTAATTTCAGGATATTTTATAGTAAGCATTGTAAAGACTTACAGGAATTTTTTTCGGCTTTCCTGCGACAATTCTTTGGTTGTCGTTAGTGTTCAAAACTAATACGCCATATCCAAGTTCGTGCGATTTTTTTATGTACGGTATCTGCGTGCCACTTTGCAAATTATCGTTTATTATTAAACGTCTTGCCCACTGTCCAGCCCTGACCACTCCGCTGCCATGAATAATTATTATTAACTTATCATTCTCCAGCGCTCCGTCACTACAGAAGACAAAAGATTTCAAAATCGTGTCGCTGCTTCCATCTTTTGGTACCGGCAATCTTTTCAAGCCTTCCTTTTCCAGCAATCCATAAACGTACTCGTTGAGTACCTACAGTCGATAAGTACGTTTAAATTTCACTCAGTCGATAATACGTCAAGTAAAGAAAATAACTTCTCATTATTTACCTCACCAAGTGCTTCGTATCTTTTTTGATTATATTGCAAATCTTCACTGACATTAAATTCAAAACCTTCTCGAGTAGTCAGTCCAGTGGATTGATCCAGTTTTCGAAGTTTACCATCTGAGCAAAGACATAGGGATTTGACACGAGTTAAATTGGCAGCTTTGAAATATAAGGTAATAATTTTGACAGTCTAAGGAAAAAAAAATACCTGCATCGAAGTCGTAACCAAATTCACGTAGGGTTTTTGGAAATTCTGTCACGGCCATTGCACTCTTAACGCCGAACTGTGAGAAACAAATAAAATGCTTTACGATTCACTTTCCAATTAATTGATTATCTATTTACACAATATCATAACCTACAATCGTAGGCACTCTTTAGATATTCATGTTAGAATTCGCAATTTAATTTATCACTCAGATTAACACACTTCACCTTTTACATATACTTAACTGTATATAAATAACTGTAATTAGGTTTATTCCAATGAAAATCGTATTTACTAAAGGACACATTTACCAGCCGAGAAATTGAACGTATTGACATCTGAACAGCTGCTGCCAACTTTCCATTAGTTTTGCGACTCATGACATTAATGTTCCATACGACTCCAGTTTAAAAATGTTTGACTGGCTGTAACGACGATTTACGTTTCCTCATATCACCGATTAAAATAACATAGGGAATTTCCAGATTTTCTATGATTTCATTATACAGTATTATTAAAGATATATATATATATATTATATCAGGAAATACTACCATTCCCACACAATTGTACCTACGTATATCAGACTTGCGTCACTAGTTTCAGATATTCATTTCCATCGTGCAAGGGAGTGGAAAAAAAAGGTAAAAAGATTGGAATGTAAGTAGCAGAATAAAATATTTAATTTAACTATAATTTTATAAAAATAGATACATCATCCGATCATTTAATGAGCTTACGTTGTGAACTGTATTTGATTACAAAGACAACGCACGGTGGGACATTTTTTCTTCAACATTTTTTGACAAGTTTTTATATAAAGCATCTGTGTACTTAATCTCGTGCTAAGTCACAGTATATGGAAGTCTTATTTTTTAAATTAAATTATTTACAATGAATCATAACTTTAATAGCGCCACCACGTCCGGTTTTGGCAGTTTCGAAAGCTTCACGTGTCTCTTCAATTTTGTAATTGTGCGTTATCAATGGCTTCACGTTCACTTTTCCAGTAGCTACGAGACTTAATGCATCGGCATAGCTAAAATTTTGTGAAAAATGTATACAATTATTATACTGTGACCTGAACAATTTTTTTATATCAGTAATATATGAGTTGACTTACTCATTCACGTAACGGAATACACCCCTGATATCAACTTCTCTTACAAGTGCATTGATAAGTGGTACTTGAATTTCAGGCGCACCCATTCCAACGAGAACAGCAATTCCGCCTGATTTTGTTCCCTACAAAAATATAACAAATTTCAGTAATCTCATGATCAGAAACAAAATTTACTTTTTCACGTTAATCTTCGTTCGATTTAAATTATACTGACAAGAATTGCCAAACGAATCGACGCCTGGGCGCCACTGGCGTCTATCGTCCTGTTAGGCGCCTCACCAAAGAGTTCATGAATTTTCTTAATGTTATCTTCCTCGGACATTCCTTTTTCTATCAAAAAAGTCGCATCCGCGCCTAATTCCTTCGCTACGTCCAATCTGCTTTGTAGTAAATCTGAAAAAGGATCACAAAATAAAGCAGCTATTATTTACAGACTCAATGAATAGAGAATGAAATAATTCCCAACGTTAATGAATATTCAAAAAGTAATCTGTAATTCTAACAAGTTCATTCATTGTTTTATCTTTCACAAAAACCATGACCCTTGAATTTTGATCCTGACTCCTAATCAGATTCTTTGTTTGTTTCAGATTTATGTCACATATTCAACTAATACTACAACTTGATAAACAATAACAGTTTCCGTCTTTACCGGTAATGACCACTTTACAAGCTCCCATAGCTTTAGCAACAAGTAACGATACGAGGCCAATAGGTCCAGCACCCAAAATCAAGACGTTTGATCCGATATCGATATGCGCCCGTTTGCAGGCATGAACGCCAACAGACAATGGCTCCAGTAAAGCACCCTCTTCGAGGCTAACGTTAGCAGGTAATCTAAAAATAGAAAAACACCAAATTAATTCACCATAACGAATCAGTACACGATTATATTATCAGTTACAAGTCAACAAACTTGTCAAGTAAAATTTCATTAATTTTAAATCACAAGTATTTGACCTTATCCGACCCAATAGATAACCCAGCAACTGTCTGTTAATTCCAACATAGATAATTTATAAAATAATCATGAGGTCGAAGGAAGTACAGATTACCCAATACCAATCAAAGAAAAAAAATCTTACTTTGACATACACCAAACAAAAAATGTATTAGCGTAATAAACTACGTCTATGCATTTTTGTTTTCTTACTTGAAACAAAAATCAGCAGCGTGTTTGTAATAACGTCTAAGGTTCCCATGAACTGGTGGAGTTGCACAGAAAATAATATCCGGGCACAAATTGTAGCTTCCTTCCTTGCAAAAATTACATACCCTACAAGGTACACCAGGTTCGATAGCGACACGGTCCCCAACCTATAAAAAAGGAAAATCAAAATCTCTTTTTTATACAAAATTTACAAAATTCACCTTCAAATTTTTAACGTTCTTTCCAAGTTTGCAGACAACTCCAGCTGCTTCGTGACCAATGATCATTGGCTTATCAACAATGAAGTCACCGATTCGACCATGGACAAGATAATGGACATCGGAACCGCAAATTCCCACGCAGGCCATTTCCAGCAGCACTTCTACAATAAAGAACGAATCCCATCATACCAATTATCATCATCGGATCTGCGTAACGTGATCAAATGATGCTACAGTGAATCAAGTGCAAATCAAATGACGATTTAAATGGAACCAAGTCGTTAAGTAGAACGCGAGTCACAAATTGCTAGGGTAACAAGCGTGGTCATTCTATTCCAGGATATATCCTTGAACTCACTTTATATATATAAAAGGTACTCTCTTAAGATATATATATCCTATCTAATGTGAAAATGATACTTCCTATAACGTAATTTCATGATGACGCACGTGACAGAATACAACTATACTGTCATTGAGCTAGTGTAGCTATTGCACCAAAGTATCAATTGTTCCTTATCGGTATTGTTATCACGTCATAGCATATATTTCCTCTCCTTGAAAACTCACCGTCCTCATTAGGTTCTTCGATTGGTGTGTTTTCCTGGAAACAAAATTTTGTTAGAACTTTCAAAGTTTTTCATACAAATTTAATTTATTATTTTCTGATATGACTTTTGTGCGAACTGGGTTAAAACGTTGCAAGTCTCTGTTAACTGGGTGGCTTTTATAATCGATAAAATAGGACTGCAGTGTCAGTGGTAACGTCAGAGGCTCAGGGTCGTGGCTGGAGGTGTGAATTGCCGTCATTGTCAGGGTCATTCGTTGCAGCTGATAAATCGAGTAAGTTTTTATCAGTTCATTTGGTAATTTTTTTTATCAACGTGGATCTGACGATTTTATTAGCATTTTTGCTTTACAGGGTTTATCATGGGATTCTCGTGGTCGATGGTTATCAGGGAAGTTATTTTGCGGTTGCTGCAAGATAAGGTAGTTTTGTACTTTTCTTTTATTTACATGATTTTACGCTCTTTAGATAATTGAGTCAGCGTACATTACGCAACTGAAAATCCAAGCAGTCATTGAAATGTGCACTGAGTATTAATAGGAGTAAACATAAGTGCTTCGAGGCGATAATTATTAATCACCATTAATTAACGTTTTGCGATATTCTAATGTTATAGAAACGTATCAGACGACTACACGAGCGGAATAAAGAAAATTATTAGTTTCTTTGGTTTTGATTTGAAAAAAAAAAATTCAATGAATTTGAAGTGAAAAAGTTAGAAACTCAAAAATATTATACTAATGGTTGAAATGATGTGCGTGAGATTCTGGTTGATGTTTACTTTGAAATGAAAAAAAATAAGTTATGTGACTTTTGAATAATTTATTTACGCATTCGACAAGCTTATCCTTTTTCTCTTAATGATTCACGTAACCAGGTTTTTTTTTGTGAATAACACTAGGGGTGATATGCATTTTTGAAATTTTTCAAAACTAACCAGACGTATGTCATTGATGCCATGAAGCACAGCTGTCAGATTTTCAACGGCCATCGTTTTTGAATTTTCTTCTTTGACCTTTCAGACTTGATTATTTTCCTCGATGCCGACGTCTTACGCAAGCTCGGGTTACAACTTTTCCGATTCACGATTGGCAAGCACTGATGAAATGAAGCAGCGACGCTGTTGCCGTCGGATATATAGGCGCGAGACCGACGCTATCACTATTTCCATAGTAGAGTTTATGACCGATGCCAAACGTAGCATTTACTTGTGAAACAGTCGTCTTAACCATATGAAAATACTACAGTCAGATATTCTAAACACAAGTTCGGTCACCGACCTCGTATACAATTTCTAAATCTGTCACCGTAAACCATTCACAGGTTTTAACTCATACAGTTGAATTATCCACAGATGAAAAACTAATTAAATAATCTTAGTGATAACAAGACATATATCCAGTAAAAGCATAATAAATAGTGGCTGATTATCATTATTTTCTCTATGCGTATTTTTTTCACTGAACTAAAATTGATGTAATCATTGAGGCAGAGAAAGTTTTTACATTGATGTTTTCAAGAGAATTTTGGTGCTTCACAAATTTCAGTTGATTATATTCGTTGTTTGTTATTACAAGACTTAAGTAATCATTAAATGTTTTCATCTCCTATCGTGAAGTAAAGAATTTTATTATTCGTTTTACAGCGATATTGACAGTTTCGTAATTATGTCATAATCCAATTATCTTATCAAATTCACTGTAGACCCTAGGCTTTTAGACAAAAATACGTACATGGCTAATGTTAATGTTAATGTTAAGCATTAAAGAATTTTTACAGCGAAAAATTAATAAAGCAAAAATTGGTTAAGGCATCCTGTATCAATACAGAAGTAAAAAAGACATAATATCCGTGGCAAATAATTTTGACGCAATCTGCCTTTCACGTTCAATAGAGCATCTTAAAATGTTATCTTGAATTTATAATCCCTTTATGAATTATATATCTATTTTTTTTAATTATCTTGTAGTGCTAAACACACGCAATTGTTCTTTTATGATGTATCAGATAATAGTACAGTACATATACCATTGTATTGGATCGACCAAAAAGTAGTTGCGTTTTTTCTTCTTAAGACATGTATGTCCATCTATTAGAAAAAACGTAATTACTTTCTAACCAACCCAATAAAAATATATTATCTTACAACAAGTTAGATATTTTGAAAACGTATATCGAATAGCACAGCTAGAAAAGAAAGAAATATATTCTCTGCATTTGTCGTTCAAATTAATATAACTCTAGTGCTTTGCCACTAGAGAAAAAAAAGATTTCAAATCCGTGTCGGTGTGACCATCTTTTGGCACCGGAAATCTTTTCAAGCCTTCATTTTCCAGCAATCTGTAAAAACGTTTTCGTTGAGTATCTACAGTCGATAAATACGTTGGAATTCAAATCAGTAATACATTAAGTAAAAATATAATGTATTATTTACCTCGCCACGTGCTTCATATTTTTTTTTATTTTATTACAAATCTTCACTGACATTAAATTCGAAACCCTCTTAAGACCAGTTGATCCAATTTTCCAACTTCACCATCTGAACAAAGACAGAGATTTTATAGTAACCGTGAAATACAAATTTTTTTATGGTTTAATGAAAAAAAAATACTTGCATCAAAGCCATAACATTGCAGGAAATTTAGTTTCTCAAAACTAACCAGACGTATGTCATTGATGCCATTGAAGCACAGCTGTCAGAGTTTCAAGAGTCATGGTTTTTTGAATTTTCTTTTTTGACCTTTTAGACTCGATAAATTTTCTCGGTGCCGACGTCTTACGCAAATTCAAGTTACGAATTTTCCGTCCCAATTGGTAAGCAGTGACGAAATGAAGCAACGACGCTGTGTCGTCAGATATATAGGCACTAGACCGATGCTATTATTATTTAATTCGGTCATTTTAATTTTAAAGTAAAAATAAATTAACAATAACGAATTATTAAATAATTTGGGTGAAAACCATGTTAGGATGAATTAAAAAGATAACAAATAATACACTCCGACAATTTAGGATTTATTATCCACAGTTGTACAGTTAGTATGTAATTCGTATGAAGTTAAGGTATGACTGTAATTATTTATTATTCCCAACCCCATATGCCACTGGATTGTCGAATGGTGTCTCGGTTTTCACGACGTGTCCGCGTCGTCGCGCTGGCTTCACCCTTCGCCAATATTTTCCTCGACTGACCCTTTTTTTCGCGTTTTTCCAGCGTCTGTCTCATTCGATGCTTTATTACTTCAGGCGCGATAGTCGCCGCTGTGGAAACACTTCTGACACTTAGTGAATCCTGAAATTCATCATCGGACGACTCATTATTTGAACCGTGAGTTGCCTGTGTGATATTCATTTCAGCAATGGCGTCTCTCTCTTCAGAGTCAAGAATACTTTTTTGCGTATCTATAAGCCGATCATCTTCTTTATAGTCAGATCTTAACGCAAGGTTCTCGTCAATTTTTAATTTTCCAAGATTTTCTATAGTGTCCTTAATTTTTTCCGTTGATTCCATCAAGCCTGTTTCCCGCATTTTGTTTGAGTCGCTTTCCACTATTTGTTCTACTTGATCTCGTAAATAATTTATTTCTTCCTCGGTCTTTTTGATATTTTCTTTATCTTTTTCTTCCTCATCATCTTCATCGACATCTTCACATTCCTCTATACCCATTTCTACTAATAAATCTTTTTCCATTTGTCTTGTGAGACCACTGGCTTTAATTTCAACGTCTATACAATCTTCACGTCTATAATATTATAATGTGTTTAGTCATGAAAAGATTTTCTATGAAAAGTGAAATAAAAATGCTTTTTTTTCTGTTACTTACGATATATCTTTAAATGATGGATATAACTCGCTTTCATATGCAAAGCGTCGTCTAAAGAAATCACGAATACAATTGACATCCCTCTCAAAATATACTTCAGCATTAATGTGTTCAGTTGATACCATTTGAGGAAAGTCAATAATGATTGGCTTACCCTCATTAGTTATCATGATATTAAACTCATTAAAATCTCCATGAATAACACCATGATTTCCAAGTCGTACAATTAAATCCATTAATTCATCGTACAAAGCTTCAATATCATTTACTTCATATACACCACATCTGAAAAAAAATACAGTAGCGTAAAACATTGTATTTTATTCATGCATTGTTGTACTAGTTTTATTTTGATTACGCTTACAGGGGTCCACCTTCAACCAGCTCCATAACAACACAATGTCTATTGAAATCAATTGGCTTTGGTACTGGGAATCCTCTGTCCCGAAGCGCCTTCATGTAAGCAAACTCTCTAGTAGCAGATATCCTAGATAGATACAACCATGAAACAGATTTTCTGTGCTGATGATAATCTCTTTTGCCTTTAATATTTCGAAAGCAGATACGGCCTAGTCTGTGTAGTTTTAAACAGATAGGATTTCCTTTCTCATCTCCAACAATGTAAATATTTGATTCTTTGCCAACACCAATTTGGTTACCAAAAGAAGATAATACTCCACGAGAAGCTAGGACTTTTAAGGCCAAATAGTCATATCCAGAATTTGTAAGTCTATAACCATTGTCTGAAAAAGTAGAGTCAATTTTATTTTATGAATAATAATTAGCTCTGTGCTTGTTACAATAGTTTACGTACAGTGTTTTCCTCGTTCATAACTGACTAAGTTGTGTTTGCAAAGCTGTTTCAATAATTTGTGAACACCACCATGACGTAAGTTTGCAATTTGTGCAGCCAATGATCTTGGTACTAGCTCATGGTTTTTCATGCCCATTTCAATCTGTAATAAAGAATAGTATATTAATTCTGTTACAAGAATAATCACTCAAAAATACTTACTGCTGTCAAAACACGAAAATCTTCCTTAGTTAAGTAACGTAACATTGTCACGTTTAATTTACCCATGATTATTATGAATTATGCTATTAATTTTGTTTACAACTTATTCTATAAAAAAAATATAAGAATTAGCAAGCAATCAGATCAACTAATATATTACAAATTTGACTGTAATATTTGCCACATGGAATCAACCATGCCTTGTATACTTCTTGTTCCTTTTTGGTTTTATGTGGTTTTATGCCCTTGTAGAAGGCATATATGGTAGAGGGCCAAGTGCCAGCCATGCCTCAAAGATAAAAAGGAAGGTGCACAACGCTACGGTCTTAGGCGATACCAAAATCTTAGCGCTAAATCGTAGCGGCGAGTCTGGAAGTAGGATTATGTGATCACCGCCTCCGTCGACAATGCGAATCCCTTCGTAGAACACGAACGCGTAGCTTGGCGGGCAGAGGTTCCCCGCTTCCCACAGCTGGTTCACAAAGCGACCATTAGAAGGAGACCGGATACTATTAGAGCTTCTCAAGAACTATTGAAAAAGCCTATTATTGAAACATTTTTAAGAAATTTTTAAGAAAGTGCGGTGCCAACTTGACACCCTTGTAGCACCTCAATTTTTGAGAAATGTTTCATCAATAAGTTTTTTCAATAGTCCTTGAGAAGTATACTAAATCAAAATCTCGCAGAACATACGGAGTAGATAAAAATTGAATTAAAATTGTAGAATATCGAAAATAAATTACGTTCAAATTTAAATTTTAATAAATTAGGTGTTTGTAACATTAAAATAATTAATTAAATCAATAAAGTAAAATATTAACACTTAGAAATCGGAAATTCTGTTACTATTGGCTTGTAGAAACGACATTCGACAAATATTTACCTACAACATCCCATTTTAGAACAGCCTTAAGACGCAATCTAGGGATTTTAATGCTTCAATATGGTATCAAATGGCTGGCAAAAAGAACTGGAAGTAAAATAAAAATATCCCTAGAATGCCGGAATTAACAACAAAACAAAACAGGATATTACGTGAATAGTGTATATTTCAAAATTCAAAATACATAAGTGAAATAAAACGCTGAGCTCGTACTTTTTCGAGTAATGCAAAAGAAAATACAGAAATGAAAAAGATACGTATTAATCAATACTTGGTAAATACAAGAATTACAATACATTAGTCGCATGAAATTCTTCATAAAGAGACGAACGAATTAAATTCTATCATGAAATCTCGTGGGCACGCAACAATTGCACCCAGCCCCATTTTCTCTTGAGTAATAGTACAACTTACATATGAAAACCTAATTACCTTCAGCAGCCACGGTACATTTCTTTGTAAGACGAAGATCCCTTCCATTCTATAGTTCCTACATACTCGACCGTATTTTTTTGTTTCGCAATTGAAAATCTGCAACATTATCTCTTAGAGTTTTGCCCTAGACATTTAAGTTGAGAAAACAAAAGAGAAAAACGTAATTCCTTTAATCCAAAAATTAAATATAAACACGACGCTGTATCAAATATTAATTGTAACAATCATATGTCTCGTCGCTTCAAAATGACATCAAGCATCGTGTGGCAACTTTGTTAGTAACAATTCAATGATACAACAGAAATTCATTAGATCAAATTTGACAGTTATTTAAGAGAAACGTAAGCGTACAAGATAATGAAAAGCCTAATTCCTACGATGGGTTAGACGTTAGTATACAATTGCAGAAGCGATTAGTTTTAAACTGCTTTGTGTAACAATAATTATCTGCCTAAAGTTTTTCGTCAACGGGTACAACCCCATATAACAATAGTTTTTTGTTCCTATAACAATTACAACTTTACCTGGATACTTGCATTCTATTCGATAGCAAGAGAGAAATTAAAAATTGATCTATATAACTAACGAAAGCGAATATTATAATGTGAGGTATGTATCCCTAAAGAAGATAAATCGTATTTCTTTTCGATTATTAACATTACCTATATACATATCACAAAAATATACTAGGACTTGGATAATCGAGGCTTTCTACTGATATTTTCAGTTGTCACATACTTGAACGATAACTTGTGTTTATAATAGTAGGATTTGTTAGAATTAGTATGCTAATCGAATAAGAAAAGTAGTATAATTAGAGAAAAATAAAATGAAGACCGCTAATAATCGCATGGTCGATTAATAAAAATAACTCTAAACAGAGAGACGTATCACCGTTTTTCTTTTTTTTCGTATCGCAATATAACCGATTTAACAGTAAGATTAACAAGATTTAAAATGAAATACCTCAAACGCTAATGCTGTAACAATATTTGATTATGCGTATCTATATCTTACAGAAGAATAAACAATAGGGAAAAAATAAGAGAAAAATGGTACTATAAGGCACTGGACCTGGAGTTTTACCAACAGTGAATTAATGACTACCAGTCACGCAAAGCATATAAAAATTTGTTTCTTTTCTAATATATCTCTTAAAGAATTCAGACATCTCTTTGTTTTTGTCGATTTACCTTAATACTTATAATACTAATTACGCACTGGTTAAATTGTTAACGCGTTAAAAATCAGTACACAGAAGTGAGCGAGTTAGTGGAATCTCGTGACAGTAATTAAATTTTGTAAAATTTTAATCCGTGTAAAGATAAACATTAGAACACCTTTGACGGGCATAGTTTGGAAAAATTGGCCAAAATGTGTCATCAATTATTCCACACTATAAACTTCCTTGTGCAGAGATTTGTACAAGGATTGATAAAGGCTTTATTTTTTTTTTACTTTTTTCCCTTAATTTGATGTGACTGTGGTGTGCGCTTGTGATGTGGAAACAATTGGCCATTGATAATTCATCATCAATTGTTCCACATTGAAAGAGAATTTTGAATTTCATGTTAGTAGATGGTTAATTTTTATAAATATCATTCGAAACGACGAAAATATTGTCAAATTGTTTTGCCAAATTGGAATTTTGATAGCCCTCTTTTTCATTTTTGTCGGGCTGATATCACATGACACTCACCACACGTCGTCGTATGTGCAATACGTTTTGCACGGATTGCATTTTTTGGGAAATTAGGGAAAAATATATATTTTTATTCTGGGATATATATAGGATTACTCAGATCGTTCCGAGTCGGGAATTGATCGATTCGGAACGATTGATTGAAGGGAATTCTTAAAATCTAGATAATTGCATATAACGTATCTTGATGAATAAAAATAAAGGAATCCTTCCCAAATGCGAAGGACCTCCAATGAAAAATGTTATTCCAATTATCAATCTCTACTCCATGAATTTTCGGCGTTCGATCTGTCCACATCGACCTCATCGAGGGCACTCTCAATTTTTTCTTCAGTATGAAAAATCGAACCGTCGTCCGAGAAGTCTGCCGATCTTTGGAGCTTCTGTTGAATCTGTCAAAACCGAAAAATGATAAAATGATTAGAATGATTATTACAGTCAATATTAATGCTAGTAATTTATCATTGATACGCACCTGCTGTTCCATATTTGCTAATGAATTAGGTTCATACGACCTCAGATCATTTGATAATGGAACCGGTTCATCGGCAGAGACACTGGTATCCATAGAAACATTATTTTTCTTATTTCGCTCATTCTGTTTATTTTTCACATCATCATCATCGCTCTCAATGCTGCACATTCTGTCATCGTCATCAAAAATGGAACCGTCATCCGACAACTCTGGATCTTTGATCGTCACATTGTGCCTCTTACGGTCGCGGACTTTTTTGTGCGATCGCTTAATTGAGGCAGTTTGCAATAACTTTATATAACTCTGAACTTTAAGACAATTAGGCGGCGTCCTCGCCGTGGCACGTGATTCAGTCTTACTATTACTTCCTAGCACCACAGGATTCTCATAACTTGTGGAAGGTTGTGGACTTGAATTATCATGGGAATACAGTTCCTTCGATTCAATGTCCGAGATGCTTTTAAATGCTTCTAAGTCATCTCTATCGCTGTTGTAGCTACAGTCCTTGGAATTGGGTGTTGGATAATTAATTGGTACTCGAAAGTCCAAGGAAGCACAATTATTCTCCTTTGCACCATAATCACATCTTTTTTGTTCACTTATCAAAGATCTACGTAATCCATAACTGCGCTTATCTTTTTTATGAGACTTCTTTATCGAATCAATATTGAAAATTAACTCTGCTGTCGATCTGTTTTTTGGTGTTGATCTACCACTTGGATTTTCTGTTGTTGCTTGTACTTGCATATCCTTTGACGATTCCTCAGTCATTAATGGTAAAGTATTGTTGCTTTTATCTGGAGTCATCAGATCGTTTCCACATGACTGCATGTTGTGATCTTTAGATGACATTATTGGTGTAACACAACGAGATCTGTCAATCCTCTCAGCATCTTCAGACGTCTCTTCAGTGTTTATTGTGCGTTCTACAAGTCTGACGGTATTAGGAGTCACTAAGGATCTCCTCTTCTTAATTGGTGTGAAGATTTTAAATTCATCTTCAGCGCTTTCATAATCCACTGAGGAAAATTCGGGGTTGGATAAGAGTAGTGAAAGGTCCTTACTTATGGAATCACTAGGAGACTTCTTTCTTTTGTTTGGTGAAGTTTTATCCAATGGAGAAATATTCGAGGATAATTTTGAAGTACCTTGGTGTTTCGGTGACAACAGTTGATTGACATCAATTATCCCATCGAGGGAATCATCCTGATTAGATTTTGAGCTCTTCGTACTAGTAGTCATATCCTCTTGTGCAGATTCATAATTGCTTCCACTGTGGTCTAAAACTCTAGCACAATCTTCTGAATCGTATTGCGAATACGTTGCGTAATCATTGTCACGGTTGAAAAATTTTTGCCGTCTAACAAAACTGGAAACAATTTTCTTGTGTTTGTCCTTCTTGTGAGACTTTTTCACTGAACTATATTGTGACAATAAGAGTCGACTGGAATTCACATTTTCTGGTGTACAAGCACGGTCCGCTGATGATTTTGGACTGGTCGGCGTCTGTTTTCCGGAAATGACGTCTTTCACATTCTCGTCTTGTTGAATACGAATAACTGGCAGCACAACATGGGACTCCATGGCGTCTATACCCTGCTGCAACACCCTGGGCCTCAATAATTTTTTCTTGTTCTTATCTTTAATCTTTTTATGTGATTTTTTTATCGAATCTGTCATTATATGGTGGAAAAAATTGATGTGGTTCTCAGGCGTGGTTGGTCTATTTGTACTTCCAGATTCTTCTCTGCTTACAGTTGGTGTCCTTATCCAGTTATCACCACTAGTACTGCATTGGGGCATTGGCTTTGGTGAAGAGGCAGCTTTTGAGTCATCCAATAGTGGCTCCACAAGTTCTTCCCTGTTATTAGAAGAGGCTCCTCCAAGATTGCTCTCATTATCGACCGGTTCTGGTGGTTCACGAGACTCTTGTGTATTCTCAGAATTCTTACCAAACTCTTGTAGGACCGTTACTTCTGTTGCTTTCACAGAATCCAAACACTGGGGTTGCACTTCGTTATTATTCTCAATGAAATTCCTTAATTCACTGTTCGTATTTTGATCACTAGGTATGCTGTCCTGCACAATATTATCAGACCAGGAAGTTATATTTTTTTTGGATTTACTAGACACGATACATTCGATTGGTACGTAATCCTCTTGGTCTTCTTCCTTCTCTTCATCCTCTTCCTGGTCATCAGAATAATTCAAAATGGAGCCAGCATCCGAATTGTCGTCATCAGAATGACACGAGAATGCTTTCTTTTTGCTTTTGTCCTTTTTATGAGACTGTTTTATAGAATTCACATCGTAACTGGGACTTGGATAGGAATCGTTCATCTGCGGTGTGGAAGGCCTCTCTTCCGACGGCGACAATACAATAGACTCATTTGTGAACGATTCTTCATGCTTCTCTGTATCGGCATCAATCTTGTAAGCTGTGGACTTTCCTATGCGGCGTGAAAATCTTTCCTGAAAGTAGACAAAAGGAAAAAGTTTTTTTTGTTCCTTACGCATTAATTTATCAAATAAAACTCTCAGTGATTATTGGAAAAATTTTGTATACCTTTTTATGACTCTTTTTTATGGCACTCATACTCTCCGGTACAACTTGAAAGACATTCTCAGGCGTTTGCGGTCGCTCGTTCTCATCATCACCAAAATCATTAAATAAATTTCTTGGTGTGCTTATGGTCATCTCGTTATTCATTTTTTTAAGTTTACTATTTGTTCTTTTTGATGATTGCAGATTGGGCGTCATACCAATTTGCATAATATTATTTATTATTTCAGACCGATACATAGGGGAATGTCTTTTAAATTCGGGTGAACTGCGAATATTCTTTCTCGTACTTGGCGTGAGGTAGTTCAATGATTTTTTAACGGTACGATGATGCTGCGACGGGGTTTGATTTTGATTTTCGTCAATCGATTCAATTGATGTTCCCAAAGCATTGCTTATACTGGAATCATTGCTGGTATCAATATTATTTAAACTTTTACTAAGCTTGGGTGATGAAGTCGCAATGGCGTCGTCAAAGTCGCAGGAACTTTTATCCGAGTTTAACAGTCTTTTTGGGCTTGGGCTAAGATCAAAGTTTAATGATTTATTTATTCTCTTTGTTTTAGCCTCGAAGGAGCTACCTTTTAGATTGAGGGCTCGCATTATCTTAGCCGATCTTGTCAGATGCTTTTCCCCGTCCAGGGTGGAGCTGCTGCCCGCAGTGGAATTTGGTGATTTAAACAGTCCCTCGCTTCTTCCATGGCCGATATCAAAATTTAAAGAACGATTTATCCGGTAACGGGCCAGACTCTTATTTCGCCGTGGGACAGACTTGCTAAACACCCTGGGTGAGGCGTAACGGGTTTTTGAAAAGAATTTAACCTCCTCCGGCGGACTCCATTTTATAATGAATTTTTGTCCCGTTTCCGCATTGCAAAAGTCAAACTCTTCTTCGGAAGTTAGACTGTTTACACTACTCTCGGCCTTTTGATTATTGTACATAGTACGAGGCGCTCGATTTGTTAAAAAAGAATATGGATTATTTTAAAAACAATTGTATCGTCACAGTGGTGTAATATCGGGTATTAAATACTTTTTTAAAATTTCCAGATATGTACAAATATTATATACGCGAGTTTAGAGAATTATTTATATTGTTTTAATGTTCTGGTAGCTCCAATGCCTGAAAGTTACCTGAAATATAAAGGAGACCAAAAACTTAAACACTGTACTAAACAAACAGTCGTTGTTCAGGAAATTCTAGGGGATGAACTTTTCCAACGTATAAAACCCTTCATTTATCAACTGCATCTGTGTCTACATCCTACTCATATCTTATCATATAGGATATGCCTCCCCCATAGAAAAACCAAGCACATGTTTTTTGGTAAGTTCATGCCACCCGTTAAAAATAGGATAACCTATGGTATATTCTAATTTTGATTGTAGGTTCCAATATAAAAGAACATCATACTGATCCGTTATATAATGTAAGATATTAGAAAAAAATTATACAGATGAATTAAATAAAACATACTTCTCCACTCTATAATTAACTAGGTCATTCATCTTTGAATCATATGGAAGCATAAAGAAGTAAGCTATGCCAAGAAAAGCAAAGGGTCAAATCTTCAGCATACTAAAATATAACTAGGCAGCTGTACAGAAAATCCTAGATGGATAAAGCAGTACAAGTTTTATCAATTAACACAAAAACACCGAAACAAACTTCATTAAACGAATACAAAAAAATCTAATATATCATTAAATATTTCAATATCTAGGAAATAAGTTAGATGCAAAAATCAGAGTATCTGCAGAGACAAAATCCCACATTCAACAAGTGACATGAATCGATCAAGACAGAAGGGCAGAGTGCTCACACATAAAATTACAGAAAAGTCAACAAGATAATAAATTTTCTCGTGAATATTGTAAAAACAAGAAGTGAAAGAAAAAAAGAACAAGAATGCTTCAGTAAAGTCTTTATGAAACCGAATAAAAGTCTTGCTATAAACAAGATACGGATAAAAATAAAAATCAAACTGTAGTAGCAACCACAAGCAACCAAATTCATGAAGATGCTCAGAAGGAAATCCACAGTCAGTGTCAGTATCCATTTAACGAGACTGTACACTGTAAACGAGAAAATCTATCTATTAAAAATGTCTTACGTTATCCCAATGAAAAGAATCAGGATTCTGGATATGGCGCAACTCCATGAAGAATTCCAGTTGATTCTCTCGCGTTCTTCCTTAATACAATGCCACAATTATTTCTTCTCTCTTGAGACACAATACACCATAAGCTTCACCACACGCGTCTACTTCATCTCTCGCATACAACTCTCACGATTGCGGACCACGTCCTGACTCGTAGTTCTACGGCGTGGTGTATAGGTGGCACCAGCCGATACGTTGCCTAGCAATTATCAGCAAACAAAGCTGTAACAATTGGCAAATGTACAGGTTGTATTATATTTTGTTATACAATTCACTTTTTCAATTGCCAATTCGACCGGCATTTTCTTACACTGCTGATACGCCATGCGAAAAATCAACAATACTATCCGAATGCACCGCTGTGAGAAAGATGGCTCTGCGATCGAACTTCCGTTCAGTGAGCAACTATATTTGTTTGTTCCTTTAGATTTACGTAAAACTTATATGTTGTATATTGATACAAATTTCTAAAAAATATAAAGCATTTTTATCATTTACTTTAGGCATTTCTTTTTAAATGTATTTAAATTTTTTCAGCATCATAAACAGGTGGCCACCTGTTGCTGGTTGTAGTTACGGAGTTTTGATGGTGGGACTATGGTGAAACTACGGTGTTGGGACTGTACTTGTTGCTTCGTACTTTTCATGTCTTACGACAGATGTCATACATGGTGGTGATTGGAGACACATCTGTTTGAGGAAATAGCATAAAGAGATTGTCAAGCGCGCTGATACAGTAGAATCTCTGCAAAGAAAAATATTTGGCATTAAAATTGATCGTTCCTTGTTTCTAGAGGACTGCCAACGCTTTCTACTAATGAGCAGGAGTTGTGTGCACGGACAGCACAGGATGACTTCGGGATATCCCAATTGTACCCCGAATGTCCCAAAACTGTCCTGACAACCTTCGGATAACTTCGGGATGTCACGCTTTAGATACATATTCATGAGTCCTGGCATAAGCCATTAAGAACATCCTGAGGATATCCTCAGGATCGACAGACCGTCCTGCAAAAATTATATAAGTTTATTTTTAGATTTTTTAGATTCTATTTACATAATATACATAAATAGATTTATATAGAGTTCTGAATATAAATGAGAGTGTATACGGAACTGAATCACGATTGCGGTTACTAAATTTTAGTCAATTGCATCGACTGATTTCTACCGTTAACAAAATCAGTCGATGCCATTGGACTGAATTTAATAACCGCATCGTGGTTCGATTATGAAATATACATTAAATTAGAATCAGCATATAATATAATACTTTAGCCGGATGGTAGAACTAATTTGTCAAAAAATAGAGCGCAAAATACATACGGAAACTCCTTCCAGATTCAGAATCTAGGAAAACTCACGCTGTATACTTACCGTCTTCTAACTCAACTTGAAATTTGTACATGATACATTCCTAATATGCAGCTCGACATGTGAAAGAAATACTTCTCTAAGGTAGCTATAAAAACCTCTTGTAAAAATCCCATAAAACGCCTAAATATATCCAGTGGGTGTTTTCCCTAGGATGTCCGGAGGATCATAAATATGTGGACATTTGCGCCTCATCAGGATATTCAGATTAAGGCCCGAGACCCCTTATCAGGACGTCCATAGGACTTGCGAAATATCCATTTAAAATATCCATGAGACTTCCTCAGGACGTCCTTGTGCAATCTGGGCAATGCTGATGCATAACAGCGTCGCCTAGCGGAATTGTGCTTGTCTTACTTGTCCTATTCCCGTGATCTGGTCGAGCTTATTCATTCGAGTAGTCATATAAGGGTAGTCACCCTGTTAGAGTAGCTACACGTAAAGACCATATCGAGGGTTGCCCTTCCGCCTAACCCGCTGAGCTTGCTCAGCGGGTCGGGCCCAAGTTTCCTCATTCTCCTCTTCTTTCCTGCTTGCATGCATTCCTCCGTTCTTCACGAGAATTCTCTCTATGCTCAGCCCGACGAAGGAAATAGAGGAAGTAAAACAAACAAACATAAGGGCGAGAGTGGGGGCCAGAATGTGACAAGGAGATACAAGCAACGAGTGACAGAAATAAACAAGTGTGGAAGTTGGAAGTAAAGAATAGAACTAAAGATGTAAAGAAGTATGATAGAAATTAGGAAAGTAATAAAAATGAAATACAGAAGGTGAGGAGTAAAGAAGTAAAGAAGGAATAAATTGAGAGAAATAAATTCATGAGGAATTAAAGAAATGGTGAAAAAATTAATAAAAAAAGTGGGGAAGAAAGTAAAGAGTTAAAGGAGAAGCAAAGAAAGAAATGGATAAGACGAAAGCATCCAAGAGACGAGTATAGGAAACCGGTTCTTGGAAGAATGAACGCTCTCAGCCCAAACTCTTCCTTTAATGCTCACCCCCGCAGTCCTCGTCTCCTGCCTGCAGAGTCGATGAGTGATGAGCGAACGAGCAGACGACAGATAACCCCTTACGGAAAAAAATATAGATATAAAACTGCTAGAAAAATAACTATTTGAAACTATTGCTATTATAAACTAAAAGCTATTGGAATAAATATACCTAATACGTCAAGAATGCGTCGTAAACTGGTGCAATTGAAAAATAATTGAAATAAAACACATTACTCGTGATTTGTATATTCATTCCTGTATACTCGAGGAGGTCACTCCATCCAAGTATTCCACTTAGTCCTTTACTGCTGAACCTTCTCTCTTCTGCGTCTTCCTATATAATAGACACTATATTTATTTCTTCTATGCATAATGAAATTAGACATAATCAAGTTTGGCTGCATACTTGACACATTTTTATAGACCTTGAAAACTTACTACTCTTAGGATCATAGAACAAGAAGGTTCAAAATGGAGTTTAAAATTTTTGTAGAGACTACTAGTCCTATTGAGTATAAAAAGCTCTTGTTAAACTCACAAAATATTGAACCTTCAAGATCTGCCAGTAAACCAAGGGATGAAAGAATTGGATGTTTCAAAGACGCTAAGTAGTTTGAGTCAAATGATAATTACACCCAAATATTTTATTTGCTTCTTAACAGTAATAAACTACTATTGAACTTTGATAGTAACTATTCCAAATGGATAATCTCCTCAACAGTTACTTCTGTTTTCATTGGCAATGAATAGTTACTATTCAATCTTGATAGTAAATATTGCGAGCTCAATAGTATATTTTTCCCTAAGAGACTGTTTCAATGAAAATTTGGATAGGAACGTATTTGGCGTTTTTTACTATGACGAGTAGTTATACAAATATGAATTAGACTGCTTTGACTTTTGCTTTCGGAATCTTGTAACATATTCTTCCTCTCTTGTCTTATCGCCCCGGGTAGCACCCTTTCCAAAACGTGGTAGCGTAGCCACTGCATAGCGTGTACTGTCACTAGCTCGGAATGCAGCTCCTATATAGAAAAGTTATAAAGAAATGATTCATATTCCCGCCTTCTGCCTTTTAGTACACTCAGTTCCTTAATTTTTACTTTGCTGCTCAGCATCCAGGGTACTCTTACGTCCGTGGTTTTGAAACATTGAGGTTCTGTTCAGTTCTGCCGGTTGTCCATTTCTAAACTGTTAAACAGATTTACTATAACAAAGAATAATGATTTGAAGCGCTTTAGTGACTACTAAGTAACTTGTAAAAGTAGTGGTTACTCAATTATATAATTCCCATATTTATTGAAAGAGATATTGTTAGTTTATGTGCCTTCAGATTTTTGTTGACAGTTTATACGTCTCCAACTATACACGAATATTGTGTTTTATATGTCTAACGAAAGATTTTTTGCATTCCACGTCATTAAAGGTGACATAATCAACAATTATAATAATGGCAGAAAAATTACGAAGATATGAGAAAATTGATTTTCTTGGGGAAGGACAGGTGAAGCATCGATATAGTATATTATACATGGTTGTAGCGTTACTTTTCTTGATATTAAAATACTTTATTATAGTTTGCTACAGTTTACAAAGCCAAGGATACAGAAACAGATAAAATTGTTGCTGTGAAAAAGGTTTGCAATTATTGGAGTGTAATCGTACATGTATATTTATTTATATTCTTTTTTTTGTAGATCAAAGTGGGAAGCCGAGCTGAAGCTAGAGATGGCATTAACAGGACAGCACTTAGAGAAATAAAATTATTACAAGAATTAAAGCATGAAAATATTATTGGATTGTTAGGTATGTGCTTGACATAGCCAATTATAAATTCGACACATGTTATCTAAAGTACTTTGGAATCTAAAATTTATTTTATAATGCCTATTTTCAGATGTTTTTGGTCATAAGTCAAATGTGTCCCTAGTCTTTGATTTTATGGATACAGATTTGGAAGTGATCATAAAAGACAACAATATAGTACTAACACCAGCAAATATAAAGGCATATATGGTACAAACTCTGCAAGGACTCGATTATCTTCATTTTAACTGGATCTTACACAGAGATTTGAAACCTAATAATCTCTTAGTTAACGAAGAAGGTGTATTAAAGATTGGCGATTTTGGATTAGCTAAATTCTTTGGATCACCTAACAGAATAAATACTCATCACGTGGTAACAAGATGGTACCGAGCTCCTGAACTACTATATGGTGCAAGATTATACGGTACTGGTATAGATATGTGGGCAGTCGGATGTATATTGGCAGAACTACTTCTTCGAGTGCCTTTTTTACCTGGTGAATCTGATCTGGATCAGCTCACTAGGATATTTCAAACATTGGGTACACCAACTGAGGAAACCTGGCCAGGCATGACCGATCTGACAGATTTTATCCAGTTCAAGCCATTCCCAGGAACACCCTTGAAGCATATATTCACAGCAGCTGGAGATGATCTACTTGACTTGATAGCCAGTCTATTAAATATAAACCCCTTACAAAGATGTACATGCGATCAAGCCCTTCAGATGCCATACTTCTCCAATAAGCCAGCACCAACTCCTGGACCCAGGTTACCATTACCAACTACTGTAAAAAGACAACCCGAAGAGAAGCCTAGTCTCAAGAGAAAATTATTGGAATCCATGGATGGTGCGTCTCTTGCAAAAAGATTACAATTCTAAATATAAATTACTTGTGGTCTCTATAATCATTGTTATACAGTTGAACAATAGGTGGATTCATTCCCCTGTAAATTGTATTGTGATCTAATAAATAAAATTTACATTTTTCATAAAACCTTATTAAAGTTCAATTCAAAGAATTCGATCTTACCTTGCCAATAAAGTCTTTAAACTTGGATAGGTTTCGTTCACCACTGTAAACAATCTTAAATTTCCGAAACTTATGTTAAGAGAGTGAACATAATATGGATCAAGTTTAAAATAGAATAAGTTTATGGAAGGAACAGTATGCATTGTATGATAGATTCTGTGCCAATAGTACGCCATTTATATCAAGCAAGACACGTTATTCATACATTGTTTATTAATGTTCTTTTTCTCATCCTCGTGTGCATTTGCATAAGGAACATTTTCCTTTTATTTCAACAACATTGATTTCTCTTTCACGGTCTTCACTGCATGGCCCCATTGTGAAAAATACTTGATCGCAATAGACCGACGACGACGATGACGACAATACGAACGGTCGTCATGCAGTGACGCGACGACATTAACGTTAAGAAAGCATTAACAAAGCATTCGGCATTTTCTCTCTTTCCACCATTTTTCTTATTACATAAACACATTACTTTTCTTCCTTTGGCATAAAACATCTAAATGGAATATAAAGTCTCAAAAAAAAAGTTAAATGAAAAAAAAAGGAAATGTAACGTTCACAACATTTGTCTGGGAAGTAAAAATAATACTTATAATAAAGGAAAAGGAAAAGATTTAAAAAAAAAAAAGAAAAATCTAATCGTAAAGGGCTCATATACCAAGGCAGCCTTATTTTTGTTCTTTTTCTTCTTCTCTATAAGCCGTGTCACACAGAGAATCACTTGAAAAGCCAACATCGCATAAAAATGCTCAAATTCGCGAATTTTCATAATTTAACATTTTTTCTCCTTTTCCTTGTTTGTTCACCAATCATCAATGGAACATACACTCGACAGTTTATTATTTCTTTGCTTCTTCGTATTCTTTCTTTGCTCATTATAAATTCGCTTTACATATAGTTTACCTGCGCAATGTTTTTCTATCATTCTTTTCCTTTTTTGCACTCACGATATAAGTCATCGATTATAGAGAGAAGTCCGTCAAGTAACCATCCGCATAGTGTCGTACACCGCATTATCGCTGAATTAGAAACGGTGTAAATTAATACTGGCTTGAAGCTCAAAAAAGTTATCTTGCAAATATAATACTTTTGAACTAAATATTTAAAAAGCAATGGTCGATACGCAATCGCTGTTGCTTCGGTGGTGGACAGCAATTAATTTTTTGTCTTTTCCTTTTAATATATTTTAACTGTCCACCCCTTCCACGTGTGTGTACATATATGTGTCACCGCGCCGTATATTACGTGTACGTGTGTGTTGCCATGTGTGAATTCACTTTATTCACAATTTAAATTTGCAAATGAAGCATTTTGATAATTAAAGGAACGTAGCTTAAATAGTTTATCCAATCGTCGGTATGATTATTTTTACATAACATTTTTTATCATTCACCACTTTAATACTTCAATAATTTACAGTCGGTAACTCGAGTCCTAATTTCGACTTTGCCAAAACTTGAGCCGACCAACGCAGAGCGACACGTGATTTGCGGACAGAAAAATAAAATAAAATATTCGTAAGCATCTTTTGTGACGTTAAAATTAAAATAAGGAACGAGAAATAAGTAAGGATAAATAAAAGCGAAATATCCACGAGACTTTGCGATGACCCATTTTATGAGGATTCGCGTGATCAGACGGAAAGAGTCTTGGCAAAGTCAATTTCTTCTTTTAGTATTTTATTACTTTATCATTTTTTATTATTTTATCCCTCCCGTCGCTTCTCTTTATGCGAAATACGATAGTTACTTATGGCTGTAAATAATAATCATATTTGTCTCGCAACGACGGGCTTCGCGTGTCGCCGAACGAAAGATCCGACACAGGATGATTTCTCCTTGTTACAGTACAACTAATTAGATCACATACTCGAAACCGTAATTAATTACAGCAAATAATATTACAAAATAAATTGTCTATAAACCAGTTTACCGTAAAAATATATGTAGGCTGTGCATTTTCCTTACTATGTGTCTACGTACGCGCTTTTCGTATTCTCTCATTCATTCGTACATGCTCATCTTCATCGTTGATTTAAATTCTTTGCATTAACGCCATTCACAAATCGTACCCTCTCGTCATACAAGAACATTAACAAAGAAGAACGGACAATGTATACAAATAATAAAGCAAGAGAGAGAAGGATACAAGAAAAACTAGAAAATTTATGCGAATGGCATTCTTTTACAAAAGCGCAAAAAGACAAGAACACCCAGTAGGTTCTTTTCTTTTTTTGGTTTCATGACATTCTGCCCAATTCTAATCACGCGAGATAACGGCTAATGATGTTTATTATTGTTCTCACAATGTATTACTCGCCAATCACCTGTTAATGACTAACTACGATCAGTACTCTTGTCTCGATAACGCAACGTGTATTACAATTAAGAATTAGGAAAATCAAGAGAGATAAGAAAAACAAAGGTCCGTCCTCTCAACCAAGAGACAATCCAAATTTTGCTTGTAACGTCATCAATGGACAAAGTCGTCAAACTGATTGTGACAAAAATTATAAGTGAAAAAAAAAAGGTATGCGCGGATCTGCAAAGAGCTCCTCGGCCACGTGCGATTCGACCTTTCATCAAATAATATCGTGTTTGGCGAAATTTAAATTTACATCAAGTGAACGCATAACGAATACTAATTATTGTGCAGCAATGAGATTACGAACGAAATCGCATCTTAATTAAAACATCAATTATAATAATTATATTTCGCCTCGTACTCAAAAATTCGCTTCTTTTTATTACTTGAGTAGAGGAAGAACAATTTGAGTGAATGGGTACTCGCGACTCGCATGTAGCATAACAGTACTAGTAGCGATAATAATAATAATAGTTAATAGTATTTTAATAGTGATAGAGCTAATAGTAATATTAATTAGTCTTGTGCCGAGGACTATCCACGTGGATTCGCGCATAGCTCAAAAATTGTATCAGTAGAAAGGACTTTGCGGTTGATCCGAAAACTGTAACCAGCTCTGACATGAAATTTTTCTTTGCTAGAACGACGATTAGGCAGCGACACAGATTAGAAATGAAAGAAAATTTAAGTGACAAAGAAAAGGCAAATGTCAGGCGAAATGAAAAAGATTTGATTGATTGAAGTGCGAACACACTTTTCATCCCCAATGCAGACTATCTATCATTAAGCTTCTTTTTTTTTTCCAATTTCTTGTAGTTGTTGTAATATTAAAAGTAGAAATACATATCATTTTTATCGTTACTACTGTTGTTGCTGTTGCTTTCATTTCCTTCTTCCTTTCTCTTTTATATACGTTTAATATATTATATTCAGTAGTCAGTTCAAGGCAAACATTATCCGCAATTATATTTATATATATATACATATGTATACGTTTATGTATTTATATATAATATAATGTAGCTATTATTTTTTTTGTCGTACTTTAGATTGTTCTACCTATATATTACTTTCTTTTAAAAAATGTATACTTAACATTTAATATAATATAATATATATCTCTTTAAAATATGTACAATCAATACTATGGTACAAGTATTATTAATTGTTTGTTGTGTTAATGTTTTATAAAGGCAATTATCAATGTAACTATTATCGTTAATCGTACAATAGTAATTTTTTTCCTCATGTAAATAATCTTTACAATGCTCATTCTCATAGTTTATCAATGTATAATACATGTTAGGATATTTAGAGGTCATCACGTACGTCACTTACTGGACAACTCGCTTGCATATTGGCCGGCATAATTATCGGCTCCTATTGTCTCTCTATGTTGTCAGATAAGATGACGAACTTATACTCGAATCTTCCTCTTCGATCTCATCTCGTTCTCTCGAGCTGGACTCAGCAATCGAATCGCAGACATTCCCCGTTAATAAAAATATAAAAATCGTATAATACTCGAAATTTCGAATTTCAATAATACCGTCTTTGGCATAGAAAAGTAAAGAGGAAAAATAGTTGGGCAATCAAGTTTGACCTAAGAGACAGAACTGCATGGAAAAATGCGTATGAGTGTCTAGTGCATGTTTCATCACGAATTACAAAAATTAGTTTTGACGGTAGATAACAAACCAAAAAAAAATCTGAAATATTCCCAAGTATTACGGTGTAATTTAAATTTGAAATTTTTCACAGGTTCCAGTTCTGGTTGTTTCTAATGAATATTGAAGAAAAGAAATTTGTATGATAACAAAAGCTGAAACTCAATACCCATAATATTATAGATATGTGAATCGATACTGTTTTACTGGATGTTAATAAATATTTCTTATACGCCATCCTATAATTATTGTACACGTGTATGCTCATACCAATCAATCAATATAACACATTCATTCCTGCTGATCCACTTGAGAACGAGTTTGAGATTATTCCTGACATCTCGAATAGGCTTTCAATGAAATTTGCGAATCCCCTCACCACCGTTACACACTATTATGACGAATCGATAGTCGGCCATTTTATATATATATATATATATATATATATATATATATATATATATATTATGAGTCGCCACTGTATTATCTCCTCGGTATATTTAATCTTCATCTCGTTATCAGCAATTACAAATGACCGAAAGATCCCATTGGTACATGGCAAATATTCACATCAGATTCCTTCAAGTTTTGCGTGGGAGATTTTGGCGAGTGCTCTCTCTCGCTCTTTGTATTATTTCTCTTTCTTCGTCCTTCGTTCGCATTAACCAGTAGCGCAAAGTATTTTAGAAAAAGAAGAAGGGAAAGGAAAAAAGGGATGAACTCAAACGTGTGGGTGTTACGACATATAAAAAGTACAAAGTGCAAAATAAACTAGCGCGATTGGATTCTCCTGCGCGAAAGATTAAAAAAAGCGAGATTGAAGGATGAGTGAAGAGAGACAATTTTGAGAGCAAGGTCAAACAGTCACTCGATGATGAGGAGTGGCTTGACGCCATGTGACGTATGCGTTGGGAAATCTTGATTGGGTTGTTGTAGCTTTAGTCGTGATGCTGCGCACTCGTTAGCCGGTTTCGCTTGTTGACGATTGTGAATCAAGTATCAAGTTATCAATGAGGAACTTACAGATTTATGGTATCCAGGGTGTTTGTGTTCCTTGAGGCGCTTTCCTTCGGTGACGTCGTAGCGACATTCACCTGTTTCGAAACGTTGTTCGTGAACGGCATGGCGAATTTAAAGTCAGAGCCGTTTGGCAGCTTCCGCATTATCTTTCCGGATGTGATGAGTCTTCCAAAACCTTCCTGGTGAGCGAACGCGTATCCGGATCGTAACGAGCGTCTTGTGCGCCTTGTGGATGGTGTACGTAGTATGTCCTGGCTCTGTCGTGAGCGCAATTGGGCCAGTCTCTGTTTCAATCTCACTCTGTCTGACAGAGTGGGTCTTACGTCGATGAAGAAGAAGCGCCAGGAGAGAACTGGTATCACCAGGATTATACATGTGATCACTGTGGTGAACCAAAAGGTGGCTTCGGACATGGCCTGAAAGAATACACCAAAGCAAAGTCTTAGTTTTAGTCTTCAATCAAAATTTTGTTCTACTTCAATTGGATTGGAGCTTGCAACATACCATTGTTAGACTTCCGGCGTAACTTCCGCCTATGACAAAATTATAGAAGTAATCCAAAATGAAATACCAGATGAGAGAGCCCCAAACCATTATGTGATTGAAGATCGTCCAGTAGGAAGTGTCCAGGGCTATTTGAACTGTCACCACGATGACTAATATCGTTGCTACTACGCTGCCCAGTAACATATGATCCGAGAGTACATAGCCTTTTGGCGAAACACCGTCCTTGTACGTACCTAGGCAAAGCATGTAGAAGAAAAAAAGAAGGTTAATCAAATGAAAAGAAAATCTAACACCCACATGAATGATGATCTTAATAAATTTACCGTATGGTACCAAAAACAATACACAGCTGGCAAAGAAACCGTGAAGAGCGCTCCAGCAGAATTCTTTTTTGTTGAAAAGTAAATTCTGATGACCTGGTGTATAGAGCTTTGGATACATCAAGCTGTTCTTGTCATTGACATCCTGATCAAATATGCCAATTGCGAGGACCGGCAGTGAAGTGTAAAATAAATTGTAGACCGAGATGTACATCGGATCGAAGACGGTCTGCGAAGATTAAAAGAAAACATATCGTTAATTACAAGACATCTGGAGGTGTTGTATAAATAAATAAAAATTATCACGAGTCAGATTAAGATTTAAACACAGTTCATCGAAGCTCGACTTCGGAATTTCTAGTAACTCGAACGAAGGAGCAAACGAGATCATATTCGCCTTCGAAGCATCATACTCGATTGCTTGAATCCTACATAATAATTATTAAAACAATAATTCTCACCTGCGCGCTGAACCCACAGAAGAAGGCGAACCATATGTGACAGAGGGTGAAGGCAAAGTTCTTGTAAAAAAAGTATCTAAGGAATTTACACATTCTGTAATACGACCATCTACCATGGACCAGTAGTAGCCTTTCTAGGAACCTAAATTGTCCTATCGAATAATCAGAGGCCAGAACAGCCTGTAGACCCTCTTGTCCACTGATTCCTACTCCAATGTGGGCAGCCTTGATCATCGATACGTCATTAGCGCCATCACCAATTGCCAATGTCACGGCTTCTTTACTCTTTTTTATCATCTCAACGACCATTGCCTTTTGTAACGGCGTCACGCGACAGCATATCACGGATTTGCCTGCAATAAAAAGAAAGCGAACAAAAATGAGTCAGGAATTGTATTTGAAAGTGAAATAAATTAATTATATTTTTTTAATGTTACTGTGACTACCAGAAAAACTCACATTGACTAGAGACATCCATAAATAGTTGTTCCAGTTGCGGATGCAATGCGTGAACTAGTGAATGTCCATTGATGACCACAGCAAAACCTGTTATCTGCTCTAACTCGTGTTCATCCGGCTCGTCTCTGCTAGGATTGTACTCTGTATCACTGCTGCATTTGGGAAACATCAATTTTAAGTAAAAATCATTATGACTCCTGGTGAGAACGTTAAAGGAAGAAAATACTAAGGGTTTCTCGTACTTTCTTGAAACTGGGAAGAACTTGACGAATATTGACAGACTGCGAGTCTTTGAATTTCCAATCTAATCGTTACTTTATTATTATAATTACTAATAATGATCAATTGCGTTGAATTAGATAGACTCGGAATTTGCCTACTGGAATATCGAATGATGCACGGCCATATTATGGAAGACACAGAGTGCGCTGTATTATTGATATTCATTAAAGAAAAGAGAAGGGGGTAATAACGTAGTATAAGCAACATAACAATTATGTTGTTATTAATATTCGATTAAGATTAATTATAAGCAGACAGAAAGAGAAGGAGTGAGTATCAAGCATCGCATAGTAATCGTCATTAATTGATTTAAGATTATCGTTTCAAGATTTTCATTCATTCCCTGATAAGGTATAATTTGATATATTATGTGACATAGAGACAGCGCATGAGAACAAGGCTAAACTGTCTAATCTACAGTTTTAAACTTTAATTCATTATTTATCCTAGAATCGCTATAATGATTAGAGACAGTGACCAATCGTAGAAGACATTTTAAATGTGATACAATTGTAATACAAAAATTGTACAAATCCATTAAGTTCAAACGTGCCAATGGAGATTGACAGCTGTCAAAGTCAATTGGTATTACTGTTTATGTAATAATTCTTAGTCACTGAGAAAACGGAGAATGTCAGGAGTGTACTCCCAAGTCAAGACTATTTTCTACAATACCTTAGAGCTTCGAATATTGTCTGAACGCTTAAAAGATGTGATATAAAATCAATAAATTCTTTTTATAAAAACGATATCGTACAGAATAATCAGCAAAGGTTACAGGGGGGCAAATGTCATAGCACATACAACAGTATAAGCGCTATACTAGCACAAGACTATTCATTGTTATATACCTTTAACAAGTTTTTGGGATGATACCTAAGAGTATTAAAAAAAAACAGACTTCATTACATTTGCATGTATAGAAGATATGGAGGCACCTTCAAACCGGTTCAACGGATTGACACAAAAAGGGACGATCACATAGGGAGGATTTTAACATAATACAAAAATGTATATACTCTTAGGCATGAGTCCAGATAGAAAGCATTACATATAAAACATGGTGCCACATTCAATATAAATAGGTAGAACCTTTGATCAATGCGTTAATCAATAAGAATTAGAAATGCAATATAAGAATGATTATAGATTGTACTCCGTCTCTTTCGGTTGCCTGACCTTTCCTTATCCCACCTGAATGTGACGATGGAGAGAGTAGGTCTGTTCTGATGATTCGAAGCTGTTTTAATAGTCTCAAGATATCGAGTGAGTTGGGTCTCGACGCCGTCGTAGGTAGTGGCGTCGACAATGAATACATCGGTAAGATCGTCCGTCAAGAGTTGGCAGGAATATCCAATATTGATTGCAGTCTCTGTAGATATAAAGACAGCATTAAAAAATAAGCTTTAAAAACGTTTCGCTCAACAGCAGCAGCTGCGACCTTTGATCGGCGCAGCTGCATAATGCATAAAGAAGAATTGCACTGGATATTAAAGTGAGAAACGTTTGTCGTCTACCTTGCTTGTCTCCGGTCAATACCCAGACCTTGATACCAGCAAGGCCTAGATTGGCTATGGTCTGAGGAACGCCATCTTGCAGCTTGTCCTCGATGGCGGTGACACCAAGTAGCGTCATGCCTTTCTCAATTTCTTCATAAATAGCATCGAGCTTGTCGTCCCTATTATCTGGGCTCAGTGCTGCCTCCTGGTGACGCTGCTTCCAGTTGTTGAAGAAACTCTCATCCAAGTCCCTGACTGAGAGGCACAGAGTCCTCAGACCTTCGCCGGCGAATTTGTTGAGATGCTCCTGTGTCTTTGCTTTGATGTCCTCGCTGCCTTTCTTAAGACGTTCGTAGATGACGTTGTCGGCGCCCTTACAGTAAAGCCTTAACTGACCTTCCCTCCTGAGGATGACGGACATCCGCTTTCGGACGTTGTTGAAGTCCAGGATACAGAGAAGCTCGTAGACCTCGCGCTTTCCCATGACCTCGATCGTGATGCTGTTCGGTGATCTTTCCTTGAAAACGAATCCAAAGTTCCTTGCAGCCGACACCAGCGCCGCCTCGTCCGGTGACTGTGCCTGATACTCCAATTTTCCACTTTTCTCTTCGGGCATCACCGTGTGACAGAGCGCGAGCAGCCTGAAAAAGCTGTGGACGTCTTTATCGTTCCTTTTGACGGCCTCTAACAGATTCGTGTCGTAGAACTTGAATTCCGGCTCGTAGTCCTTGTTGAAAGAAAAATCCAAGGGCGGCACGGTCTGAAAGCACGAGACAATTCCTATTATGAGACTTGCTAACAGGCACAGCAGGTGTAGCTAGATACACATAATACAGATAAATAGATAGGCACAGAGAATGAGAAGATAGAATTGATCCAAATAATCTGCTTCGAAGCAATCCCTTCGATTATCAGTGGTTAAGTGAAATAAAGTATGCCTCGATTGAGACTAAAGTCGATTAGTACTGTTAATTTTGACAGAGTAGCATCTAGATAAAAATGTGTGTAATGATTAAATTGGTAGCCAAGGTTAAGAATATCAAAGAGCAATTGCAGAAGCGTGTATAAAAACGCAACAAGGATATAAAGTAGATAAAAACAGTGAGGTATAAGCTCAGTGCGAAGAAAATGAGAAATATTATTTATAGTAATGTAGAGTCTGTTGTATGTGTGTCTAGAACATGTCTAGACACAAAACATGCGTACTGAAGATCCAGATGGAATTTTCGGTGCCTCGATAAGTCCTGGTTCCGGCGTGGTGTTAGACAATCTGTCAGCTTGCTCCAGGAGACGTGCGTTCGCCCCGCTAATCGGCGTGTAAACCTGACGGACAAATTCCTGCCCATTCTTCCATCTCATCATCGGGGTCTGCGCAGCCTTGTCCGTCTACATGCAGCACACACATGCTAAATAATATGCATGGAAAAAAAAAAATCAAGCGTATCGGCCTAAGACATTGGCTAATTGTCAGACTGAACGTGGTCGACAAGCAGGCCAATGTCTTCGATAAATAGAGGGTTCAAAGGATTACATGAAGCACGTGCAAATGTAAAATAATGGACGGTACCCAAAACAAATAAGAAATCATTGACTTGAGTAATTGTAATGCAGTGCGCATAATAAATACAGTGCGCAGTGTAAGGATCATTCAGTTTTCACTATCTTTTTTTTTATCTCACTGTAGCACAGTTCTTATTTCATAAAATTTGTGAATAGTCGGAAAACGTTTCAGGAATTCTTATGGAACGACGTGAGAATGAACAATTGATATGTCGAAGGACGACACTCACCTCGCTTAGGTCAATAACTTCGCCGGTGACTTCGTCGATGACGTCACCGTACGATTTCCCAGCGATGGAACACTTGTTAAACGTCATTATATTCTGCGTCAGGGTTCCGGTCTTGTCCGAGAAGATGTACTCGATCTGACCAAGTTCCTCGTTGAGTGTCGTCGTCCTGGCCTTGGCGTGCGTATTGGTAGGCGCATAGTACATCTCCTCGTCCCAATTAATAAGGAAGGACTGCACAAATCTAATGACCTCGACACTCACGTATAAACTGATTGGCACCACCGTGTTCAGGACAATCGCGTACGAGAAAAATACGAGCAATGCTATCACTGTGGCGCCGCTAAGTGGCTCACTAGGCACCAGCGAGTCCCAGGGCAAATACACTTGGAAGTAACGACCCACTAAACTCTCCCAAATGCCACAGCCGATCATGCAGAATAGACACATTGAAAGTAAAAAGAACACTATCCCGATGATTAGAAGATTGAGAAGCCTATCTATGGAGGTCCTCTTGAACTTGGTCTTCCCTGAGTTTTGCATCAGTTTGGTATCTTTGCCAGCAAAGATCACCACGCCATAGCACCATTGGGTGTTCCTGAGGACGCAACCTCTCAGGATTATTTTGTCGTTGTCCATCGGGTACCTGAAAAAAATAGAAAGAGATCACCTTAGCGGCATCCTGATATAATTGTATATCATTTTTGTTTTTATAATTATCATTTATTATTTCTTTACGTACTTCCGTCCTTTCCACGTCAGTATACCGTCGAACTTGTTAAGCAAATTGTTTGGGGTCTCGCAGACGATCTCTCCGTCGAACTGACCAATCAGCTCGTGGTTGTCCATCATTTCGGCAGTCTCTATCAAGCACTGACGACATTTCAGATTCGTTTCTCTGTGATTACAAATGGGACAATTATTATTCCCATGATTGGGTCATAAATTATACATGAGTTTCAAGCCTACAATTCCTACCCGTCCAATTCTGCCGTCTCGATGTAACACAGGCCGTTTGGTTCGCTCGTCGACAACAGAAGAACATCCGCAGCGACGAACTGATCGTTCTCCATTCTGATAACGTCGCCAACCTGGACCTGGGACCATTTTTCTTCTCGCAAACTGGTACCACGCAGGGTCTGCGATCTCCTATTGTTCACTTGGGAGTCGCTGCTGTGTCGTTGCTATTGGAACAACAGATACATTATTATATGTCAATGATTGATCACACTTTGAAAAAACAGTAGGAAATCTTTTTATAAATCTACAAAATGCTTACATAGTCGTCGTAGGCATCTTTGACGGCAGTGAGCATAAGGACCCCAATAAGGGGTATGGCTGTAGTGATAGGGGTAAGGGATGATATTGCAGGTATCACCTGAAGCACCAGCAGACATAGGAAGTAGAAATTAGCTAATCGCTGAAATTGCTCAAACAGATTTAATGGCAGGAACGTCAGAATCGTATACTTGGACGTCTTGATGTAGTTGTTCTGTGAACAAAGGAGAAAAATGTTAATAATAAAACAGCAAGGAGCAACGTAACTCAGTAAAAGTATCTATAAAAATATTTATTAACTCGAATATCGTATAGCCTTACCGCATAATTAAACTGTGAGTTGTACTCGCGGTTGTTGGCGCGAATTCGCCTCTCTGTCTCTGAAACGAAGTAAAGTTTTTTTCATTCTTAATAACAACAACAATCAATTGACTGGGTATCATTAGTAATTATAAACCTATGCCTTAATGAACATTCGATGATTCTCTTGGTTGAGTCATTATACAAGGAATCGAGCAAGTATTTTCTTTTCAAGACATCCAAACAAAGAGCACAGAGGTCTGAAAAGAACACAGGTGATTCAAGGTTCAAAATATTCGTTTTAAAAGAACACGGTCTGCATCCTGCTGTATGGTATCAATTTCTCAAGCATGAAACACGTGCTTTGATAAGCCACGTTATTCCTTTACGTAAGTACATGGAAACCAGTAATTGCCGACACGGCCAACGTGTAACGTGCACGTACGAGAAGAGCCATGTAAGTCGCAAGAGATTTACAAGAAAGACAAATTTCTAAACGATCGATTTACCACGTCAATCAGACACCACAAGCGCCATATATGTCCTTAAAATTTTTTGTTTATTTTTTCAAATTTTCTTTTTTCCCAAAAGGACCGACGGAACTCACCGCTGGAAAAGAACGCGCTACTTCGTCCTATGCATTCGGTGGCAGGTGGTGAGTTTGGCGGTGCCGACGAGGAGGACGTCGGCGTCGGCCGATACCTGGCCCCTCTCCAGACAACAAGCTTACCAAGAACCGTGAGTAAGGACTCTCTGAGGGTGTTGTGCCTGCTGGTAGCACCTAGGCTACTAGAGGAGTCCCTCTTGGAACATTCGCCAGCCGGCTCGACCTCATCCGAGGACGAGGGTAGATTCACTATAATGTGTGGCGCCAGAGTCTGCTGTTTGCACTTGGACTTCCGGCGCTTTCGCTTCTTCCGGCGTGCACCGCCACGACTGCTATCCGGATCCGGAGTCGTCACGTTCTCCCTGGTACCCTCGTCAGCACCGTCCTTCACCTTAGGTCATGGATAAAGAAAGAAGACCAGGTGGCAAAGCCAAATCGCTTCTCAAACTCATAGAAAAACGTACGGGACCAATGAATTTAAACGTGAAATGAGTGTACGAGGGAAAATTGTGAAAAAAATAAATAAATAATTATTTAAAATAATGCAAATTTTCTCACCTCAAAGACCTCAAGTTCAAGTGTGTCGACCTCAACGTTCATCGCTAGCCTACGCAACTAATACTTTTCTATAGCCAACCACTTCCTCGTGGCACTTGTCACGTGCCCACGAGATCGTCTCCTCCGGCTCCGTCGATTTTACATAGTTCTCACTATTCATCACATTCTTTATCATCTCTCGCAGGGGACGAACACCCTTCCCCTATCGGACTAGCAACAGCCACCTGTCACTGTAACACTCGTTAGGGCGATCGCACACCTCACTTTTAAAAGGACGCAAGTCCTCGCGCATTTTACGCCCAGCTTCCGGTTCTGATCGATCGCGATCGATTTGATCGTCCTTGGCCGGATACGATTCTCCCGATGACGACGTCCTTCGTCGTCCCGACGCTTCCCGATTCGTCGCGGTCACCCGACTCTCTACATGTTCTTTTCGGACTTTTTTCACTTCTTTCACTTTCGTCAATTCTTCTGGTGCAAAGAGAAATAGATTCAACAAGGTTGCAGCAAAATAATAAGAGAGAGAGAGAGATGGCGACAGAAACGTATGGGGTCCGTTTTATACGGGATATTGCATTTTTTTCATCGCATGACGTCATCGACCATTTGAAAATTGCATCGACGTCGATTGATACTCTAATTAACGGATGATATCGAAATCGCTTACTGAAGGGTTTCTTTACGATAATATTGATTCGACCAAATCCTCCCCAGTCGGTCTATACCTCGTTAACGATAACTCCAAGTCAATCGTTAGAACGGTCTGTTATTTGCGAGAAAAACTGAAACGCGTACAATAAGAATTTCTTAGATCAATTTCATATAAAAAAAAAATACTCATGGAAGATATAGATATATCGACCTGTAATTTATCAATGATCATCTATGCCAATAAAAAACAAACAAAACTATCTTTGCACGTGTGTTTGTTTATACATAGTGCAATGCGTGTACAGATCACGTTGGAATTTGAGATACGTGAAAAAAATTTTGCTGGAAAAAAAATCCGTACTTAAATTTCGAGCGATATCAAAAAAATTTTGTACGCAGCATCCAGCAATGAGAATTTACAGAATCGACGATTTCTCCAGATCATTAATTTTTCTCATAGATTCATTGTGAGTCATTATACGTAAATTATGAGCAATTATCATTCGGAATTATTCCAATTATCATTTGAGGTCACCGCGAGATTCATTGTATATCGTTCAAGCTGTATAAACAATGAAGACGATATATAACGACGCCATTATAACCGATCGACGATCAATGGGCCTCGTGAATCATTAGATTTTCGAAAATTCATTGGATATCGTAATCGCATTTGAATTCAATTATCACCAATTGTCACGTGGGGACTCAGTGGTTACTGGGGACCAGATGATTTTTCGTACGTTCGAACGTTAACGTGAGTCACACACGCAAATTCTCCATTCCCATATCCTTGAGACAAGTGACGGGTCTGTTTCACGCACGAAAATACGCAACGGTTACGCAGCGCGACAGCGACCTAAAATAATGAGAGCGACCGCAGCCTTTATACTCGGCGTAAGCCGAGTCGCTGCATTCGGATTTCCAGAGATTCGCGAACGTCTTTGCGCTGGGGAAACAGTGCTAAGCGTTACGTAAGTCAGACAAGCGGTCAGTGGTTCTCAAATTAACGTCATCGGTAATTGAAAGTCGAAAAGAAGTAACTCCAGCGTATGAATCGACGAAAAAAAAATACTTTTTTTATAAAAAAAAAATGTGAAATTTCCAAAAAAAGTCAACATTTTTTTTCAAAAATTTTTTGAAATATTTTTAGGAATGATAAATTTATTTTTGCAGTACGTTCTATCCGAATGATTTTGACATTTAACCCTTTGACTGCGGCGCACTCTCGGACAGAATCGTCAATACCAATGACGTTTCACATGTCAGTCGCTACGATAGACACACTTGTTAAGGCGTATACATACGCTTTTCGCATAATCAAAAGGTGAGCCAAAAGACCGATCTCTTGGAACGACGATAAGAACGATATCGCGAATTCGTCGAATCTTTTCTTGGACAGTTTGAATAATGACAGCATACACGGTTTATTTACACGTTTGAAATTAGCCAACGCTCGAGTGACTTCCACGTGGGTGTAACGTAGCCGAGTTACGGCATCGATAACGAGAGGAAGTTTAGTCATTCGCGGCCGTTTATTAATACATTCCTCTTAGAACAGAGACACACACGACCCATACGTTGGCAAAGAGCATCTGGGGCCAACATACGATTTAATTATCAAAACGCGGGTTACTCCCTTTACAATGACGAATTAGCCGGATTAAAGTACAAAGCCTACAATCGCGTCAAAGAAAACCTCAAAAAATGTCCATTCGATAAAAAAGTGCGTACACGCAATTAAAAAGCGATAAGAAAAATCTGCACATGCCACACACTTTCAAAATAGCTCAAAACCAAATGTGATATTTCGCGATGAAAAATTGAAAAAAAAAATTGTTCACACGTCAAACACCTTGGACACTATGATACGATGAAATTTTTATATTTTTTTTTTTTGAAAATTAAAAAATGAAAATGCTCATTGTCACGTATGTGAGGTACGAGTACATATGTATATGCGTATGGTATGGATATGTGTATTGTATATGGATACCTTGCCGGATAAGGTAATGCGTATCGTACCAGTCAATGAGAGAAGCCGCCTACGGTAGGAAAAGGGTGGCCTTGAGATAAGGGGTAAAATCCACTTGACGCGATAACGATAAGCGACGAAGCGGAGGAAGTTCCTGACGACTGACGTCGAGACGTCGTCGTCCCCATGACGAGGACCTAGGCGTTTCACGGCAATCGATAGAACGACGCTTTCACGACGCTTCGCCGAGCTCTCCTGCCCTCGACGTGAACGACGTGAACGACTTTTCCACGCGCGCACCCTTTCACAGCTCGGCCGCACTTTTCCGTGCATTAAAATATAAAATATCCAAAATTCACTATTCAGGTCACTTTTGGACGCATCACGTGCAGCCGCTCATATTACGCTGGCAAAGACTTCCTATCCTCCTTTACGTTAGTATGGCCTGCCTGGTTCGAGTGTCAAACCGACTAGTCCCGTCTCCCACCCTCACCACCCTGACCGTCTGCCAACCTCGACGTTGAGCGAACGTTACGTGCGGCAAACCTGCGAGGGCGTCGCGACGGCGTGCACGCGCCCACGACGGAGGCGTCGTTACGCGGCGCCACGAGTCTTTCGCCGCGAAATTTCAAAGCGTCCTTCTTCCACCCGTTAGACAACTGTCAAAATTTTTTTTTGTTGGACAAAATTTTTAATTTTTTATCATCAATAATTTTTAGTAAATAATAAGGAAAAAAAAAATTTCGAGAGAAAGTGCTATGGTAATTTCTTATCTGTTTAATATGCTGGCAGGCACGCGACTTAGTAATTTGGAAGTCGAATTGATTAAATGATAAGAATGCTTTGTGCATATATTTATCATTTAGGTCAGTAGGCAAAATCGTTCGTTATCAGGACCGTCGGACGATAAGCGTTTATGGTCACGCGTCAATTTTCACGTTGGACGTATATTTGATACGTGTAATTCCATGGTAGTGATAAATATATTATTGTATGTACAAGGCTATCGACGTACTAGTGATTATACAATGTATATATCGTTTAAGTATCCAGTATCAGTTATAGTTCTTAAATTCCTTACGCGTAATCGCAATGGTCAGCCGATTCTCGTTGGACGACCACAAGAAATCGTTCAGCGAGTTATCGCACGGTTACATTATAAAAAAAAGGCAAGGATTGTTTCCGGTTGTAAAAAATCCTGTTTTCTAATGAAAAGAAGCAGTTCCTAAAAATTCAAGTCACAGTACGTTATATGGTACATTAAATATACTGCGGTTCAACCAGTAGAGAATCATCGAATGTTGATTAAAATAATTAAGCAGACACGTGGCTATTATAAAAATAATTAAATAATTATATATATACCTTGCATAGGACGTGTAGCTGCACTGCGCGACATTTTACCAAGTTTCTCCTCGCTACTTCCGGTCTCCCGTTAATGGACGGTCTGTCGATATGTGAATGGCCCAAGTGACTCCCCCTCAAGGATTGTCGTCTGTCGCGTGGCTTAATAGAGCTCGTAAAAGATGCATCAAACGAGTCTTGGCTCTGGGGTGTAAAAATTGGTGTAAAAAAATTACTAGTCCCTTCGTAGACCAAGTCCAGTCCAGGATATGGAGTACCCAAAGCACTGCCGGCAGTGCCCGAGTGGCTGTACCCCAGCAGGTCCGAGGACGAGAGAAGAGAAAAATTACGTCTTTTGATTGTTCTTGGGGTATAAAAGAGACGCTCCCACGCCACCACCACCACCACCACCACCAGCGCCACCTGGTGATGAGCTTTCAGGCACGATGATAACGCTGAGGTCGTCTCGCGACCACCTCGAGACTTATTTGAACCCTGATGACGACCCGTCGAGCAGACCAGGTCAGGTCTCAGGTCGGATGTTCCGCGGCGTGATAATGACGTGAGGATATCCGGTGTTGGGGGTCTGGCCGGTGTCCTGAGGGTGGCGTCCATGTGGGGTGGCTGGTCACCTCCCTTGCGGTCCTCCTTCTTCCCACGATGATGACGTCGACGGCCTCCTCTTCAGGGCGAGCCAGCTCCTGGACACTGAGATCCCCGATCTCTGTTTCTTTATCGGCGTCACTTCCGCTTCCTCCACGTTCACCAGCTTCACCCGATTCGTCGAGTCTTTCCGGCCCGCTCTGCAAACCAAGCGTTTGGTTCGGTTATATAGTTATATTTATTATTCTTTAATTTATTAATCCTGACACCTGATCCTCCGCTGTTCACTTTTATTGCAATTGGCAGAGAAAACGGGAATTGCCAAACGCATCCAATGTACCCGATTACCGATTTGTCTGATTCGATCGAAAGATTTTTCTCTGATTGCTCAAGGACGCAGACGTCCCACGTGTACGAAAGACCTCCATTTTCCATAAGTTGTCATTGGACAAAAAGGGATGACGTAATAGCGCGCGCATGTTTGACATTTTTTTTCATTAAAAATTCATTTAATATGCTCGAAAACAAAAAATTCGTATTTGCATTTGAATTCCATTATCAAGAATTGTCACATGGAGACTCAGTGATTACTGGAGATGATTCTTTGTATGTATGAATGTCTATGTGAGTCAGTGCGCAGACGCAAATTCTCCATTCCCATATCCTTGGACAAGTGACGGGTCTGTCTCACGCACGAAAATACGTAACGGGTCTTTCCGACCCGCTTTGCAAACCAAGCGTTTGGTTCGATTATTATTCAATTATTCTTTAATTTATTAATCCTAAAACCTGACCCTCCACTGTAGTTTTTATTGGAATTGGCAGAGAAAACGGGAATTGCCAAACGCATTCAATGTACCCGATTACCGATTTGTCTTATTCGATCGAAAGATTTTTCTCTGATTGCTCAAGGACGCAGACGTCCCATGTGTACGAAAGAACTCTATTTTGCGTAAGGACGTCGCCATTGGACAAAAAGGGACAACGCAAAAGCGCGCGCATGTTTGACTTTTTTTTTCATCAAAAATTTATTTAATATGCTCGACAACAAAAAGTTAACCCACCCTCGGTAGATACTGTCATATACGATATTAAACGAATGTAGGTCAATCGAAGCCGAAGGGGTGTGGCCAGAAAATTATTGAGAATCATAATATTAAATAATTTCATCCTTCGCCTTATTTTTTTCTTATTCACGAAAATCATTTTTTCAGCAAATACACATTTCTATAGCTGATAAGAAAATAATAATAATATACATTAAGTATTCGATCACTTTTTTCAAATGGAAATATCAACTGCACGTACTTATAAGCTTTGATAACGAGAACGTCGTGGCTTTCCTTTCAATGTGAAATTCGACATTACTGCTTATCGTAAATTTTAATTGTCAATAATTAATGATAAGAAAAAAATTATCAATTGTTAAATACCATAAAAATTTAAACTCGTACACACATGCTATAATCACAATGAAAAATGACGATGCATACGGTGGTTATTCGATAACCGACGCGTAGCGCCGCGACGCCCACCCTTCGCTACTCATTATCTATTCAAGAATCCTTGATTCTAACAGAAAACTTTATTCCATACCTGACGTGTCTACAGGGACATTAAGCTACAGTAACGACGCACGCGTCACGGACTCTCGTAGTTATTAATGCAAAAAACGTCAATCTAAAATACCCACTAAGTTATAGAATTACATACATGTATATATGTATATGTATTTGATAAATCCCCTTTAGAAAAACAATCAAACAACAAACCAGCATTAACGATTTAAAAAAATATTTCCTAACGCCCAACGTGCTACTCAATTCTTACTATACAGTCAATTATCGTCATACACATCATACCAAACTGACTATACCAAAGTGATGACTCCGAGAACCCACATATGTTCACATGTGAAAGAAAAAAAAAACCCACGAAACTAGCAGACAAAACGTCTTGTTAGTACTGATCGATTTGAGACAATAACAGTGACAAATTTTCAAAATGATGGAAAAGCACAGTTATAAATCATAAAGGTGCCTATCGATCGTACACAACCACAAGGTGATGCCTAGAGTGACAGCGTATTCCCACAAGTAGCATACAAGGTGCTACTGGCAACTGCCGGCGCTTTGATGATAATAACAACAATAATTAGAATACTTTTCGATCAAAATGCTCATAATGAATTTTTTAATATTAAAAAAAAAACACAAGGTAAAAATTTTTTTTCATTGCGTCATTCTCATAAAACGAAATTACATTGGATTGTGAACTCGACTTAAGGTTTTTAGCTCGGTATGAATGAGACCTTAACGTGCGCTTTATCGTTCGCGAGATACTAATTGAGTTAACGACGTGCGTGCCCGTGCCGAGTGCGATCTGACTGGCTTTGGTAGCGTCGGCAACAGGATACACAATATGAGTAACATTTTTTTTTGTTATGGATGCCTGATATGTGCCACTTCCGGTAGTAATAATAACAATAGGCGTATAACAAGCGCTTACGAAAAAAAAAAAATCATTAATTAGTCAAATTTGTACATTTTACTCGTTACGTTTTACCTTTACGATCGTACCCCGATACTACGTCACTATTAAGCTACGCGTCTGTACCGGAAGTTCGTCTCGATTCGCGAGGCTTGAGCTTGTGCGAAAAATTACGTAACTCATTTCCGATCCATTTAAAGATCGATGTCCACGTCAAACTTACAACCGACTGACCACACGAGGCGTATCAATTTATCAAGTCGTCATAGCTCAGGATGACCCGACGCCATTACGTTCAGGTCTATATGACAAATCGAGCGGATGCGTCTTTTCACCTGATATACAGAGATAAAATATATATATATATTAAATGAACAGTAGCTATTACCGAGGTTAGAGTATCGTGTCTGACTATTGACAGTGTCACATCTACTTTGCGTGAAGTAGTGGTTAAAACGGGGTCATAGTCAGACAGAGCTTTCAGGCTAATTAGCAATTTTTTGTTTTATTATCTTATACATTACGACGGAACCGTAAATTTATATATATATAGACGTATATCATCACTCGAGTGATTCTCGTATTATTTCCTTCTAGAACAAATTTCACCGGGTAATATACTACTTACGAATGCCTTTCAATTATGTCCGAGGAACCAGTATGAATAACTAGCATAACTCGATCAATAAACGATACGTGCTGAAGTATACGTACATATATGAAATATATATATATGTATACCATATGTATATATATGTACCAGTAGCTTACTAGTAATTGTTAGAACTCTCGTTTTCCATTTGGCAATCAAGAGTTCCGTTATCACCAGGTACGAGGGGAATCGCGTACCAAATAATACAATTCTGCTTCGAGAAAATAAGAATAAAATGAAAGAAGGAGGAAAAAGTAAGAGAATAAAAGAAATGTAAATAAATTATTGTGCACGATCTAATATCATTGACTGACAGACGTTATCGCTGGTTGAGGGTGGCTGGTTATCGCAAAAAAATTGATACGTGGAACAGCATTAAGACCGTTCCAGTCTTGTAATTATAGGGGGGAGGGGGGGGTCATTGATTACAGGGTAATTAAATTTTTCATTATACCGCTTCAGGGAAAAGCGTATTTACCCAAAGAAGCTTTTTCTATTTTATTCCTCCTTTTGGGCTATGGAAAATTGTATTTTTTCTTTTTCTTGTTCCCAGAAAGCTCAATCACTCTTTTCTTGCATTGATTGAACAAATCTACAGGGGACTCGAGATTGGTCACTTTTAACGAGGGCAAATGATGACTCGACTGCTTTCATTTATGTACCTGGTTAATACAACGTGCTCTTATCTCGATTGTTTTACGAGACTTATGCGTTTCATCTAATGATATATACCTGTCCTGTTGCAAATCTACGCGCCTCTTCTTATCGCTCACAAACATGCACAATGACGAGGTAAAGTTCTTCTGCCTAACGATCCGCGCGCTAAAAAGCGGAGCAACTATTGAATTATAAAGAAATTAACTTTTGGCCAGATAAATAAATGCGATTCTTCGGTTCTGAATCCAAATATCAAAATTCGTATGATAACGCTTATCGCGATTTTTGTCAATTTTCTGCATCGTTGCATTATTTGAGAACCTTGATGAAAAAAATTCGCGCGGGTAAAATATAATTTTCACGTAAACAAGCACGAAGCAATAAACATCATTTTAATGCGATAACGTGAAATTTGTGTGAATTTTTTTGTGCGATTTTAAGTAAAATTCAAATTGACCCAAGGGAATTAAAAAAGAAATTTTTCTTTACTGATTGTATATACCTATATGTACGTCAATTATGTATACGTGATGTATAATATGGGGGACACGATATCGTCGTCTCCGTGCACGAAGAGCGTCGCTCCGAGCGCTTTGAAAACGGGATCTTAATGCACGCACGGTTGATCGCACGAAACCGCGTGTTTGACTAGTGCGGGCTTAATGTCGCCTTTCATACGCCTATGTAAATCTATCGCGCAATGTTTACCTTGTATATGACGACGCGTCATGTCTCAGCATAGTAGAACACTTTCATTTAAGGGACCGTCTTTTTTTTTGCGTTTTTTTTTTCGCTTTTCGTTTTTGCACCTTTACTCTTTGTGCTTTCTCGTCCTTTTGTGTCCTCCCGTTCACTCTCCCCCGTGAGACGTATTATCGAGATAAAAAATTTGCATACTTTTCTTCGTCGTTTGATATGAAAAAATAACACCCAAGTTTTACAAAAAAAAAGTTTTTGATTTTTTTGCGTCACGATTTTTTTTGCTGGACAAAAATTTTGTTTATCTCATCTATCTCATGGGCTCGCCTCGATCTTATGTAATCTCTCCTTTCATTATTGAACATGTGGCTTTTTGCCGAACCGATGAGTTAATTCGATTGCCAATCGATTGATCGCAGGTACGACTTTTAAATCGATCCGAGAAAGAAAATTCAAATCGATTCGATATGTATAATTTGGAACGATTATAGATCGTTAATCGAGCAGAATTGAAAATATCGCTCGATCATTTACACCAGCTTTGCGTCATTCTCTATTTCTCTTGGACTTTGCGCAATTTACAGTCAAGTTTACGTGGTTAGTCGCAATTGCGGGTTATTTATCGGCCACCGTATTACCGACGAGGCTGAAGTACGTATAGGCGCTTACACGTTGATTCGAAAACTTGCTTTGCAAAAGCTTTTCATCTAGCATCACTATTGACTATGACGAAACCGAGCTTAAAGCTCCATAAGACACTCGTACCATCACAATCGAACAAGTTGCGATAATCGATTCCAAAAAATCGATACAAGTTCCAGATACATTGTCGCAGTGTAAAAAAGCTCGACTATAACTTGGATAACTGTTCGAGATACAAAGTAACAAAAAAAAAAGTTCAAGTATATATATATATCTTTTTTCCACCAGTTACAAACTACTTCAAGTTACTTCCGAGTTATCACCACACCTTATCGAACGGCACTCGTAACCAATTAAAAGCTGTCGTCAATGAAAAGTCTGTCGATCCTTTAAAAACTTTTTAAACTGTTTAAATTTCCCGCCCGCGTAATTTCTTTCAAGTTCAGGAACAACTGCCGATAAAGCTCGAAGATATTAACTCGATTCCTTTAAAATTCTGCTCGCACTACGGCCACGTCAAACAGTCAACAATAACGGTACGGGACGTTGTGTTAAAAAAAAGCTCGTAAAGTTCAAGTGTAGAGGCACGGAGAGAATCGGGCGCCGCGATCTGCTCGTGAGCTTGCGCCGTTCCCGACTGACGCTTTGACGCTGGCGTCGCAACTGGCGAACTGGCACTGTCGTCGCGACGCCGAGCTTCTTCGCGTAAAAAAAAGCTTCGATACGCCGACTCACCTGAATTAGGGGCTTTATGGAAACACTGTCATTCCCGTGCTTTCGTGGCACGCATATAATATATAAAAGCTCGATACTAGTATACTTGACGATGTCCTCGTGTTAATTGAACGAAGCTTTTTTTTCGACACGAAACAAATAATGACAATTTTTGTAGAGAAAGAACAGCGTTTCAGTAACTCATTGGTGACCTTGAAAATTTTTTTTCAGTTTTCAAAAAAGCTTCCTCGGATCACAAAGCTCATAAAACTTGAGAAACGTTAAGCCGACAGAGAAGCGTCATAACGAAATACGGTCGTCAGAGTCTCCCCTTTCGCGAAGCAATTTTAAATATCGCGAAACACTGACATTTCGAAAATGTCAAATCTCGACATTTCGAGTGTCCCGTAAAGTCCCAGGGGCGAAACCGCAGAGACAAAGATGTCAAGAGAAAGGAGAGAAAGCGAGACGACGTAGAAAAAGTGAAAATACGATCAAAAGCGAGAACTTTATCCCGAGCTTCAAAGGAGCTTCCGTCTACGACGATACCGAAGAGAAGTCTTTGGTCCTCGCGCCGGCGACAGGACGAATGAAACCAAAAAACGTGCGACAAAAAAAAAGGAAGCAACCACATACAGAGAGCACATTAATAAATAATAACGTGGGCGAATAAATCTGTATTCTCATGTAACTACGTACTCGACAATATATCTTCGGCAACGTCACAATGAAAAAAACAATCGCGTCGCGTCACAACAATTGATTAAATCGTCAACCGCCCAACGAATTAATAAACTCGACTCCGATGCGTTCGCAAAGCCATCCAAAGAGGAACAAAAAGAAAAGGTCTCATAACGAATCATCAATCATACCGGAAACCGTGTCCGGTAGCAGCAAAGATAACTTCATGATTAATAATGAAAAAAAAAAAAAAAAAATTATCCCCACCCCGTGTCGATTCGCGTGTCCGGCTTAATGAAAATTCCCCTTAACCGCGCCATTCTCATTCGCGATGCTTGATTACGTCTATTACGTCAGAGTTTCCTCTGCCACGCCAATCCAAAGACTCGTCACGTATTCGGCGCGTACCGTTTCACACGGCAAAACGTACCCTTAATTATGCCGAGTCAAAGTAAATACATTGGGTGGGGCAGGTATACAGGTTAGAGTAAGGGGGTGTGAAGTGGGACGGAGGTGTAGTTTATCAAAGTGACTCTGCGAGTTCCAAAAATTTACGAACGCACCTAACCCTACATTTTACCAAATTTAAGGGATGATTCCTCCCCCCCATATCGTCGCTCACAAATCGATCTAAAATGGCAGCCGACGATTCAGAAAACTAGGCTGACAGCCATTTGCGACGACCTTGCGAAATTACATGGTTTCTAGATACTTTTTTTTTAATTATTGTAATTAAACCTATATATGTATATATATATATATATATATATATATATATATATATATATATATATATATATATATATATATATATATATATATATATATATGGTTGACCTGAAGCTTATTATTACATACTGACCGTGCAGAGACAGCAAGGTAATAATGGTGGGTCGGGTAGCATTGGGTAGCGTGGAATGACGATACGCCGAACTACTATCACACCGACTGCTGTCCAAGTTGACTTCTTCGATTGTCCGACCGACTTACCCTATGGCCAAGGCTGGTTAATTATTTACCGTTAGCTTAATAACGGACTAACGCTATACCAGGAAGGAGCGATAATTTTTCAATTTCGAGGCACCGCTGGGGACGCCATATCGAAGGACGCGCGTCATTAGTCGCTTCTTCATTTTTTCCTCTGCCATCCAAGTCGTGGCAGAGGGACATGGCTGACAACGTAAGGGGATCTTTAATCAATTCGTATAATGAAAAATTATGGAGCTTCGAAACGTCGTGCGCGAAACCGTAATTTCGAGAAAGGATACCGAGTCGGGATTTTTCGTCTTACATACGTCTGTCTTTGTCTTACCCACGAAAGTCCCGATGACTCCGTCTCTCTCGCACTCACGCGAGGTATACCAAAACTTTTAAAAAATCTCAAAACACAAAATTTTCAAAATCATCGACGCAACGGGTAGACTTTTTTTTTCCTCGACCAGTCAAAAACGTCGTCGTCCACGAAGCCTCGGACTTGTACGTCAGCAAAACATATACGTCACAGGGTGTGTCGCGCTTCGTTATACGAGCTTCGGCAAAGAAAAAAAAAAGTAAGTTATTTATCTAAAACTTTCTATCCGAAAGTCTCGTCAGAAGCCAGTCTATAATAAATGTCATTTCCTTTCAACCGTGAAACTCGATATAAATTTTGTTTCAATATTTTTCGACTACAGTGCCGATGAAATACAATTTGCGTTTGACTCTGAACTGTATTGAACGCGCGAGAGGGGCGGGAGAGACGAAGAAGGGAGGGGGTGCTACGTCTTACACCAGAAGAAAAATCCAAGATTTTAAGAAACAAATGCAAAATTCTAGGGGGAGGTTGGCGAAGGGGGGTGTCTTTGGGCGAACTCCTGCGGCGATGCGAAAGGGTTGGGCCGGAGATAGAAAAGGGCGCGGCTCGCAGTATCATTCCATTTAGCTTAGCCTTCCTTTATTTAATCTAAACGCGACCTAATCTTTTATACTCCAGTTCCTCCTTCTTTCTCTCTCTCTCTCTCTTTCTCTCTCTCTCTCTCTCCAACGTCAACGTAACGCTGTCGTACTTCCTCTCGCTATAGACGTATATAAGTAATGGCCTTTTAAGGTTGGGAGGCGG